AAACTTTTCATTATGGACTGTTGTTCTCACCTCAGGCTGTCAGAGATGAAATATTTATCATAATTTTCAGATTTCTTTATAGACTAAACAGTTTTTCAATTTGCCAGAACAACAACATCCCACAGTCAGTCGTATCCCAGAAAGAAACAGCACAAACTGCTGAGAACAGTTTCAAAACTCTTTTCATGTTTAACCTGATACTACACATTTCGATTCCTTTACTTTACAAGTTTTTTGTTTCGTGAGTGGCCTGAACAGTCGACTCTGTAATGACAGAGCCTCCAGCTGTAACAAGCAGCTGCTAAACTATAGCCTGAAAATCAAATAAAAAACAAAATCTCGCTAACTGCAATTAAAATGTACACTGCTCGCCGTTTTGCTTGAGCCCAAATATTACATTTTCCTCATGTGAAACTTAATCATTTATTGACAGCTTGGCTTTGATGACAAATGATAAACTTCACAGTCCTAATGAAGCGTGGAATTACATTACCTGATGAGGCAAGAAATTGCATGTTTAGAATGCAAATATAGAGCCCGTCTACTTCACTAAGTTATGGGGTGAACCCTAATGTTATGCAGGGAGATTATCAAAGCTTCTGGTCTAAATGTAATTAAGTCATTAAAGCACAAAACACACACAACAGAGCGGTGAGAAATGCCTGACAGTTGTACGGTCGACACGACTGACAAAAAAGGAGCTTTCACTTCCTCTTCCTGCACACAGCAAACAAGCAAATGCATGTAGTGTCCCTGTAAACAAATCATTTAAAATGCCCCTCCAAGAATTCCTCCCGTCTTCAATGGTCATGTTTGATAAGTGTCTAGTGCAAGAAAACACGCTTTGCCAAAAGGAAGCAAAAAAGATCAAATTCTGCTATTTGCTCAGAGCACTCCACATGTTGCTATGAGATAAGGGCCAACAAATTCAAATTTTCTCATTGGTTTAATCCTGGTTAAAGCTAATCTCTGCCCTTGCTGGGCTCAGCTTGAGGAAGCTAGGAGGGCAAACATCTATAAAGAAAAAAAAAAGTGGGCCATAGCAGAAACAAGAACAAACCAAACTCATTTCAATGACAAGAGAAGTCAGCACATTCATATCAGAACACACACGTCCACACCTGCAGTTCTAAATCACTCGTGGTCCATCTGCCGAGCTGATTTTATAACTATAATAAACAAGCTAACCGTAATGACCAAGATGTATTTTCATCAATTACAATTTGTGACAGTTTTAAATGGTTGAAAAATTAAAAAAGAATCCCTTTATAGCAGGTGGTTGAACATACTGAGTCATCGACTGCTCCAGATACGCTTGCGTGACTTAAACGACTTAGTTTAGAAGGATTTTAATGGTCTGACAGTTAATTATCTAATGATCAAGTTGAAACATTTCGATTTTCTCACATAACTTAACTTATTAACATCTAATTAAAAGCGTATCTCTGATACAGAACTGAGACATTTAGTCGACTCCACCAAACTAATCTACTCTTATTAAACCATGAAATAGCTCAGAAAGCCCAACGAGCAACATTAGGTTTAGGCAGCATCCACAGTGGCACACGTTGTCATGGCAACGAAACATACAGTTGCACAACAGACTGCTCTAACGTTTAAAAAAACAAAACTCATGTGCACATGAATGTAAGTTGCCATTAGAAAAGTTAAAGAAAACTTTCTTACCTGATTCTAAAATGTAATTTTCATCCAGAAATCATCTGGAGTAAGTATTAGTAATATTAGTGTCGGTCAGATGTTGTAGTAGACAGTAACCCAGAGTTTTCTATATGTGTAAACTAAAGGGGAGACAGTGTGCATGTATAATTCCTGGTTCTTGGTCTCCATCTAGTGGACATATATTGGAACTTATTAGTCTCTTACTGGAATGTGTTACTGATTTATGAGTGTTGACAAAATAATTTATTGAGTAAATCCACTGAAATTTAGAACTTGACATGTTTTTTAGGAAACTAAAGTTACATCACTGAGGAAAGGTTGAGTACAGTAGAATAAACAAACACACATTCCTACGCTAAAAGTCGGCGGTTCGATCCCAGTCTTCCCTATCTGCATGCCAAAGTGTCCTTGGGCAAGATACTGACTCCTGAACTGCCCTCATACAAAAAGTGCTGATAGATGCATTGTATGAATGTGTGTGTGAATGGGTGAATGGCAATAATCTGTACTGTAAAGTGCTTTGAGTGGTCATCAAGAGTAGAAAAGTGTTATAATAACAAGCCATACTACCTTCACATAATATCTGACTTCAGTATTCAAATACTGGAAGAGTGAGAACAATTTTTCTTGACTTCACCGGCCCCTTACAATAACAATCTTGTGTGTGGCCTCCACTCACAGCACTGAAACACTGGATTATCAACCTCTTACAGGGATTTGGCCTTGGATATTGTAATCACCATGATCATCGCTTAGTTTAATCAGAGACGACAAAATAAAATAAAAGTAGAAGATGGATATGGGAATATATTTTCAGAGGGAGCCAAAAATCCTGATTGTTATTGGTCACCCGAACCTGTGGCATCCAAATCAAATTATTACTGATCACTGGAGATTCACCATCTTCCAAAGTAAATACAGGTGAAATAAATATCAAGGCAGAATTTACTTCTAAGATGCAAGGTCACTTTCTGATAGGGAGTCGATGTAACCTCCATCCGATCCATAGAGGGCGAATTATGTCTTTTCTTGTAAACAAAACAATGGCTGAAGCTTTTGGCTCTTCCCCCGCTCTTGGCAAGAAACCATGTTCACTGGTGGAGAAAACTTATAGCAGGATAAAGTCTAATTATAAATGGCGGCAGTCAGTGGTTTGAATGTAACAAAGTACTTTTACTTAAGTGCATCGTTCATGTATCTGGACATAACTGAAGATTTATTTTCAGGTACTAACTCACTCCTCTACATATATTAGCAAATATCTGTTCTTTCTACTCCACTACAATGAATTGTGTCAGGTATTCACACTATTTTTATATCAATAACAAATCTCTCCTCTCTCAGTAATGTATTCAGAAGAGGCAGAGACTACTTTTGTTTTTACTTGAATACATTTTTGTACTTTTACTTCAGTAAAAAGTTAGGTACTTCCTCCTCCGCTGGCTGCAGTACATATTGAGTGCTAGTTTCATACAGTAGATTTAACGCAAACTCATGCTGTCAGTGATCTGTGTTAAACATCTGTGCTGTGTCTGCTCCTTTTATGATTAACTAGGGCAGATAGTAAAGGATACAAATCATACAAATTATTTTTTCTTGCATTTTATTGATATTAATAGATGTCCATTTACTGTTACAGTAAAAAAAATCATGAAACACTGACAGTAACTAAAGTGTATAAATGTTCCCTTCTACAATAGGATACATGATCACATCTATTGATTTAAAAGGAAATAATATTACATACATTTATATTCACTAATCTTGATGATGATCTAAGAAGAAACAAACAACTTGTGTATTACAGTAAAAATCAAATTGATTCTAACTTAAGCAGTAGGAAGCAGATAAAGATTTAAAAACAGGAAATGCTCAACGGCATTGTAGTATAAAATGACTCATTTCCTTTCAACTGTCTTGCTCTACAAAGTTTTTTAAATTATCCATACTGTATGATATCAATACCCTACCCTCTTATTCAGCCTGAGATATTTAGATATCAGAGGAGTTATGTAACGAATACACAAATTGAATCATGGTTAAAAGCCAAACTTAAATTGTCTGGTATGGTTTAATCTAGATATTTCAGTAAATCCCCCGACACACAAGACAATACAAAACCTGTTGAGCTCATCACCAGTTATACTTTTCTCACTCGCTCAGGATTCACTGCTACTAAATGCTACTAAGACACATAATTATACGATCGTATATCATCTATATCAAACCTATGATAGTAAAATAAAGTTCTGTACAGTTACACGCGTATAAATATGTTGAACATTTACGAATAAATACAGAACTGACTAATATCAAAGTTTCAAAGTGCTCAAAAACATTCCACTCAATAAAGATGCAAAGTGAGATTCATGAACATCCAACTACAGCATCGTCTGTGTACAATGTACATGGCATATACAGTAACATAAACTCATTGTAAACACAGTAAGAAATGTCCAGTGCATCAGCAGCAAATCATTAATGTCCTAAATACACTGGTACTCAGAAAAACGCATAACTCCGCCGAGTCCCAGAAGCCATCAGCACTGTGAAATTACTGCAAACCCCCAAAATTGGTACTTTCAGATTACAGAATGGAAACAATGTTACAGCCCAACGAGCTGCTCAATTAAAAAAAAAAGTATAATTAAACACTAATAGCATAATTGTGTTTGTGGCTGCCGTCCATTCATCTCTGGTTAGAAGTGATTTCTCCTCGACTTGAGCGAGTGTCTCCTCTTCCTCTTCCTGTGACACTGCTCCCTCCTCTCGGGCCAGGGGAAACCACCCTCAGCGGTTCTGTACGCCTCATCGTACTCGTCGCTGTCAGAGTCCGCCTCCACCGCAGGGAAAACTCTGTCTGGGAAAACTTCCTTCAGCTTGGAGGTGAAAAACGCCACAAGGCTGCGGCCTGCCTGGGCCACCTCTGAGTCAGGCTGTGGTCAGAGACACAGAGAGCGACAAAGTGAGGTATTGACTCATGATGATTCCGGTTATAATTTAAACTGAACTGAGATCATGACGATAATAAGAATTATGAGACAACGTGTTCATTAAATACACACATGCAAGATCAGTTTTTTAACTCACGTAATTGAACTTTGCACAGTTGCGGAACATGAGATAGAAATCAGCGACAAACTGATCCGCTGAGTTATAATGGCGAGCGTTCCTCTTTTGGAGTTTCGCTCTGATCACAGACAGGTCCATTGGCCTCTTGATGATCTGGTAATAATGACGAGCCTGCATGGAAGAGCAGTGACATTTCCCACTGTTATTCTTTCCACTCAGCCACTGTGGTTCCCTCAAACTCATTCCAGTTTAATTACCTCGGAGCTCTTTCCCTTCAAAACACGACAAACCAACGTTCCACAGATCGCACTGTGCATCACTGTGACATTTTATTCCTCCACTTGCAGACATGGTATTTGTTTAGAACAGAATCTGGATCTAATCATGACGGGTTTTAACTGCACTGGACTCAAAAGGAGGTGAACTTCAGCATGAGGGTGAAAGGTTTTTTTAAAGCTTTAATAAGCTATTTTTTAAATTGTCTTTCATGTGCAGTAAAGCCCACATGCATGCACAGTAGGGAACATATTTCAGGAGTTGAATATTTAAAAAAATGTAGGGGGGGGTCTGCTATTAACAAATCACTGATTTTCACTGTCCGTTTTGCTGTGACCCTGAAGAAAATAGACAAGACCACAAATCTCTAGAGGAGCTGCGTGTCTGATGTCCGACTACATTTCCAAACGTCTAACTTACTTACTAGAAATTATATATCACATTTAACAAATACAGCAGCTAAGTGTGTTTGTGTCGAAGCACAAGAAAAACTGCTATGATGCTACTGTGATCAAAGTATAATGGAAACTATAGATAAGACTGTGAAACTGTCACTGGACTTTGAGAAAAGTGTGATGACTCACGAGTGGACTGACGGGCTCGTGGAAGGGAGCGCTCAGGACGTTACTGAGGATCAGAAGAGTCAGCCCCTCACATTTCTACAGTCGAACAAGCATGAGAGAGAAAAAATGGTTATAAAAAAAAAAGAAAGAAGAAGAGTCACAGAAATCACCAAAGAAGACGCGAACCCACTGTTTAACAATTATTATCTCCGTCAAGAAGTCCATGTTTTTATCAGCGTTTGTTGGTTTGTTACTTAGCAGCGTTACACAAAAACTACTGGACAGACTGAAACTTGGTGGAGGGATGTGGTGTGAGTCAGAGAAGAGCTCATTAAATTTTGGTGAAATAAGGATCAGAGGGCAGATCCAGGAATATTTTATTATTTCCTTAACCAAGAGAATAATGAATGGGTCTAGATGAAACTGCAATGCAGTTGTATGCGTCTATCAATCAGTGCTGCTTCCTTGGACATATTTCTATCATCATTTTTTTTCCAGATTCAAACAAGGTCACTGTAACCTTTGATCTCTGACCACTAATCAACAGTTTAAGAAATTCCCTGAAGGCAGTCTTGAGATATCACATTCAAGAGCCCACAAACGTTTTGAGGTCACTGTGGCCTTGACCCTTGATCACCAAAATGATTCCAGGTGAATATTTGTCATCGTGTCTAAAAGAATGGGATGGATGAACGGACAACCCGAAAACATTATGCCTCCGGCCACTGACTCTTGCCAGCGTGGAGGCATAAAAAAATCAGGCACAGTGTTTGAAATTTAGTGAAGCTTGATTGAATTTAAACTGTTGGGCCTTGATGGATGTTTGTGCTCTACTTAGTGCTATTCCAGTTTTTAATGTGGCTGATGAAATGACCTACTCTCTGGTCACTTGCAGACAGTCCGTGTGTCAGCGTGTGTTCTCCAGATGTTCTCTCGTTCTCACAGTCGTATTCAACCTCTGGCTGCACAGCATCTCTACACAGGCTGCACACCCAGTCGCCTCTGAACAGGATATGAAACAGCGTCAATTAACTGTGTTGAATAAACAGTCTCAGGAGGTGAGAGACAAATGCTATATGTTTAAATGTCTTACGTGGGGAATGTCAGCAGAGATGGGACATGACAGGACAGATGAAAGACTTTCGGACAGCGGTCACAGCACAGCAGGTCGCCTCCGATCAGACACACGGCACAGAAGTCTTCACTCTCCATCTCGTCCTGCTCGGACTGGATGTCCCCAGTCCCCCTGAGAGGACCTGGGTTTGCAATCAGAAGTGACCTCTGACCCGGTCCGATGGGGAATGACTCCTCCTCCAGATCAGAGCGAAGTGGCTGCGGGTCGTCAGTTGTAAATTCAGCCTCCGATTCAACGTCAAGCTCTGACTCCACAGAGCCCTGAGAGTCTGGAGGCTGATCGAACCCTACGTTAGAGTCTGTCTCAACCTGGAAACGGGGAAACTCCTCAGGCTGAACATCAGACTCGGTTTCTGCGTCAGCGTCCAGCCCTTGGCCGTCCTCTGATCCCAACTCTCCCTCTGATTCAGGATCCTCGTCATATTCAAGACTTGGCTCTGAACCCCCCGCGATATCTCTTTCACTGCAGAGCCCCATCTCACCCGCAGCCTCTGATTTCTCCTCAGCCAGATATCCAAGTTCAGCCTCAAATGATGACTCTGCGTTTGGGTCAGAATCAGGTGGTGATGTATCTGAGTCTACCTGTGGGTCCGGATCAGCGGGAGACATGGCTGCGTCCTCTGACAATGATTTGAGATAAGAGTCGGAGTCCAGATCCAGTGCGGAGTAAATCTGCGGACCATATTCCGGGTCTGTGGAGGGAGGTGTGGATGCCTTACGAGAGCTGAATCTCCCTCGGCTCTCAAACTCGCTGTTGATTGACTGTGTGGTTGACTGATTGCGAATTTGCCGCTCTGCAGCATACAGTGGTGCTGTAAGTAAGCGGGTGGTCCTCCTGGTCTCAGAGCCTCCAGCTAACCTCTGTTTACAAGAGAGGAGAAGAAGAGGAAGAGGAGAAGGGAGGAGAAGATGACGCTTTTATAAAACATATTTTTTATATTTGCTGCTGAATCAAACAGCCTTTCAATTGGTGTCCCTTGTGTTTAAAGATGTAGAAGATTAAACAAGAACTAGTAGCGAAACAAAAGAAATTAAACATACTTGAGTCCTTGCATCGTGCCAGAATTTCTGCTGTGGGAGAGTTTCACTCTTCTCCATCGAGCTAGCGGGCAAAGGGTCACTCTGCCGTCGGCCGTGTGGAGGGAGCTGAGAGACCAGTATTTTCAGACGCTCTAAGCAAACCACTGGAACCCTGGGCCTTGCTGAGTCCTTCTGAACATCCCTGTTACTTTTAAAGCAAGATAGTTATTATTATTTTTCAATGATTTTTGCACGGACAGATGTTTGAATTGACAGCTATTACACACCTGTTGTAGCCATTTCTTGACACCCTGCACTTCTCCTTGGCCTCACAATCAATCTCTTCATTTACATAAGTAAAACAATGATCTATAAAAGAGAAAGATGAAGGGCAACAGTTCACAAACCTTTCTTTCGATATCAGTAATAATTGCACGGTATAGTAGCATTTCCAGCACCTGGCTCTGTCTTATAGGACAGTAGAGGAGAACGGTGGCTTCTGGGCAAGGCCATGTCAGACGAAGTTTCCTTGACAACACAAAGCACGCCATCTGACGCTCTCCTCTGTCTGGGATCCACACTAGCATACTGACAACAACACAAACAAACAATCACGTTAACTGTGTCGACTTCTTCAACACAGAAACAGTCTCATTGTTATTGTAACTTTACCACAATTATTTCAGTTTAATTTTAAAAATAGGGGTCAGAGTTTACAAAGACCCCTCTGGTGCCACAACAGACTTTATACAGCTTTTTCACACATGCATTTGTTCTCCCTACAGTAAACAGACTTTGATGTGTAAAATCAATTACCCTTTAAATTATTTATTGTGCCAAGGAAGTGTCAAAGAATATGTATCTGGAGGGTTACAAATTCACGGACCTTGATAGCAAAAGAGAAAACAGACTCGTCTGAGGTGCACATAACTTTTCTTGAGCTTACGGTCATTCCACGTCATCCCCATCAGCAGGAGTTGCCCAGTTGTCACAAAAGCATTATAATATAACTCACACCCACAGTTCATCCAATCACAACTTTACAAGCCCGTCTGTAAGCTGTTCTTTTCTCCCTCCATCCTATCATTCTGCTGTCAGTTCAGTACTGTGATCAATGAATGACCCATCTCCACCTCAACCCTGGAAACCTGTTCATCTCCCTTCAAACCCTTTAATTAGAAGCCCGACTTCTAGCTCCTTTATATAAATTTAACGTCATTCTTATTTACTCATTTTCATTTGATCAACTAAACGTCCCTCCTGATTGAACTGCTGTATCCTCCACGTGTGATTATATTCTTGTGTGGCGTTACCTTATTTCCAGTCTCTGGGATGTGGGTGCATCCTGTGGGCCTTTCGGTGATTGGGCTGGTGGACGGGGCTGCCAGTTCTGCTGGGATGCTCTGGGAGCGCCGCGTCCTCCTCGCGCACACTGAACTAGGACTGAGCCTGCTGCTCTGCACGTCAGACACACAGTCGCGGGCTGTCGTTGGCACCTCCAGGGACGTAGATCTCTGTCAGAAACACACACAGAGCAGGGGTTTCATGCTCGATCACATGCACAGATGCACCTGTTTGTTCCTTTAACAAGAGGAAGCAGAGAAAAGGGGTGGGATGTGTATGGTCACACAGGTGTGCAAAGGAAAACCTCGCTCGAAACGACTTAAAAAAAACACAGAGAATGACCCACACAGCTGCATATATTACATTTATTTTACACAGAATGAAAGGATTGGTTACTGCACCAATTATCATATGTAAATTCTCCATTAGACTCAGAGTGGCCCTTTGATTAAGCCTGAAAATCAGCCTCTCCCTCCCTCGTATTAGAATTTAACAAATGCAAGCGTCCTGAAAAGCTCCTTTAAATGCCTCGGCTCTGTGTCTTCAGCTAATAGAAGCAGGGTGTGTGTGTGCCATCATCATACATATTCAGGCCGGGCTGACACTGCGTACGTACTCCTAATATCATGCGATTAAAACATTTACCTGATCCATGCCCCTTGGGTGAGGTGTGCAGGATTCAGACTGTGGAGGGAAATAAGAGTATAATCCTTCTCTCTGGAACGAAGGGGGGTGCAGGAATTTATCTCGGAGTGCAAACCAGAGCTCGACTCAAACTCCCACTATTCCCTTGGTGACTCATTAATGACAGGTTAAGCACATAAATGACTGCACCCAAGTGGTTTCATGTCGTGTTTAGATGCTGTGGCCTTAAAACGTGAAAATAATGTATCTTTGTGCTTGTAATCTTGAGAGGTTTTTTTTGAGAGGTGATTATATGGCTGCTCAACCCTCTGGCATCGAGTGTGACGATGATGAACAGCGCTCTCTCGCATTTTTAGGATGCACTGCTACAAACAGCTCAGCTTTAATTGTCAGAGCAGCTCTTTGTTTTCCCATCATCCTTTCTTCATCAAAGCAGGAGCCGGTTTCTGTAGCGCCATCTGTTTTCAGGCAGGCTGTCAACTGTGGGACGAGATCATTCTGGCATTAAAATAAACAGTGCCCCCTTTTAGTTTATTTTAGTCGTTTATGGATATTAATTAAAACTGAATACTGCCTTCAGTTTGACTCTCCCGTCATTTTAGAAATATCCAATCACCGCTTCCCATATGTGAAACATTTTGTTACTGGATCTTGATTTTACTTAAATCTCCCTTTCTCATTTTGGTATTTTTTAAATTGGGGTTTGTTGCATTTGCTTTGTTTACCCTTGGGGCATGGCTCAGGAGGTTGAGAGGGTCGTCAACTAACAAAAAGGTTTGTAGTTCAGCAAGCAGCTCCAGTGGGAGCAACATGCTGAAATCCAAATTGACAGAATTGCCGACAGTGTATGAATGGTCTGTGATAGTAAAAACGCTGCATGCAGAATGTGTGAATAGGCAAATGCGACTTGGTTGTTGCTGTTTTGTTAAAAAGACTGGAAAAGTGCTTTATAAATACAGTCCCTTTACCATTTACATTCTTTGTGAAGACATTTTTGTTCAATAACACTGAGCTGGACAAACTCTCCCACATGGTCTGCTATGTTCTCAAGTTAGAATTGAGTTTTAGTTTCAGCAGCCAAAATATTCTTGCTCTTTTAATGCTTAAAGTTCAAACTAAAAGAATATCTATTGTTAGTTCTCACCCTGCCATCCCTGTTGTCTCTGAGTGTCAGTAGAGGTCTGGTCCTCTGTTGCTCTTTTCTCATGTCTGCTGCAGGAGGAACACAGTGCTGCTGCTGCTGCTGCTGCTGCTGCTGCGGGGCAGGACTCTGCTCAACCCTGTCCTGTTGCAGCTCCTCATCCAGCAGCTCTCTGCTTTCACCTGCTGCTGCTGCGTGGCCACAAGTCTCCTCCACCCTGCATCTCTCCTCCCAGCTCTCCTCAGTCATCACATCTCTGTCCACCGCTGCATGGCTGAGCTCCTGCTGGAGAGCTGTGCTCATCGACAGCTTCCCCTGACACTGACCTGACCTGCTGCAGTCTGCGCTCAGCAGAGCCTGGCTGCCTGGAAGAACTTCTCTCTGGTGTGGGTGATAAGACAGATAAGATTTGGACTGAGAGTAGGGTTGGGAGTCGGTGGCTTGCGGTTGGGATGTGGCTCCTCGGCCGCAGGTGAGCTGGATGGGTGTTATGAATGGGATGGGTGATGTTGCGGGAGGGCGGTGTGAGGAGCTCTCTGTGTCCCAGCACCTCTGGGGCTGCTGGGTCTGGTGCAGGGGGGCAGAGATGAGAGCAGGCTGAACACAGCTGGTATAAAGTGTGGCCTCCCCTTGACTTTTGTCCAGATTGGAAGGATCTGGCTGAGAGGGGAGGCCGTGCAGGCAACACATCTGGGGCTCACAGCAGGACTGGTACCCATAGCCTGGCTCTCGTCTGTGAAACACTGGCGGCAGAGCCAAGCAGGTGATTGGCTGAGGCCTCATGATAGTGGAGCAGGACAAACTCTGAGGGTAGATGCAGTTTCCCCCTTCTACAGTCAGCTGACCTGCAGAACAAAATCAAATAATACATAAAGTATTGAAACATTCATTCTTATGCATTGACATTTTATTTGGAGGCGTATTCCCTAGTTCAATAACATTTCCAAAAAATATTGTCACAGTCTTCTTGCTTCAGTAGCCTTCGTTTTACCTAAAGAGGAAATCTGCTTCATCCAGTAACTTGCATCCCAGTTGAATTTGATCTTGACAGGACTCCAAGACTCTGAGTGGAGTGATGGCTCCAACAGCTGCTGCATCTGGAGCGAAATCTGCAGGAATAAAATATATTCTATTCAGTTTTCCACACTGTCTTAAATAATAACTGTCCGTCTTTCCATAATAAAAAATATGTCATAAGATGCACTCACAAGACCTCTCTGGATAATAATGTAAGAAAACTAATTTAGATTTTCTTTGAAACCCAAGCTGACAATAACACTGTTCTTTTGGCAGCACCAGTGGATATGAGTTTAGTTTGTTCCTTTTTTAGTTCAGGTGCCAAAAACACAGGATCCTAAACCTGCTGTTAAGCAAATTCTGTTTTTAAAACTCTCCCTGCCTCTTTCAATCTTCACACTCAAACTCTCAGTTCACAACGACGGTTTTCAGTTAAGCATTTGTAGTTTCAAAACCAAAACTGAGAAAAATCCAACTTCAGTCGGTTCACCGTGATGACAGAAAACTGTGTGTGTGTGTGTGTGTGTGTGTGTGTTGCAGTAAGGCCATGTTTATTGTGCTGTCAGCGTACCAGAGCCCTGCTGAAGAGCACCGGGCCTCTGCAGTGGTGGGTCGTAGCCCAGGTGATGAACTTCTGAACGTGGTCCAGCTGGCCACATATCTCTATCGCCCCCTGCAGCTGGTCGTCCAGACGCTGCTGAAAGTCCTCTGAGATTTTCTGTGAACACACCCATAAAATAGTCGCCGTTATGTGGGATTACTGGCACAGGTATGAATCAATGATTCTTTATTTGCCGTCTTAAGCCGTGTTAACATATTTTTATTTGCACCCTCAACTGATCGCATCGTGGCAGTAACAGATTCTGTGCATGTATATTCACTACTGGCTGAAGGATAAGAAGACAGATAGAGAAAGTAATTACCTCCAGTTGCTCTATTAATAGGTTGGCTCGTTTGTTAAGCTCGTTCATCATAATCATCTTTGCCATTTTAATCTGGTTCTCTGCCTTCCTGTGTGCAATCTTTACCCCATGAAGCCTGTGAAGACATAAAGGAGGAAATAAACGGCTCAGTCCTGGTGGAAAAACTCTCAAATTCGGAAGAAGAAAGCAGCAGTGCAGACTTTCATTAATGCATTAGCTTGCTATTATTCACCCTGGTACTGCTCAGAGTATGACGACTCTGTGTGAGTGTAAACCAACCTGCCCTCTATCTGTTTAGCATTGTTCTCCACCGCAGACCTCCTCTCTTCCACCTGCACCATCAGGCTCTCAAACAGCCACTGCTGATCCTGCAGGGCCTTCTCGATCTGCACCACCCTGAACACATGAGAGATCACAGCACCAGATAGAAAGTTCACTAATTTATTCTTCGGGAACGCAGAGCACCAGAATTAAATTTGTTTTCCCCCCGGGGACACGACGTTGTGCCGCTGACCTTAGAGGCAGCTACTGTACTGTAACATCCCAGAAAACAAAAGCGTATGAATACTTAATGGGTATTAGGCAGGCCAAGGGTAGTTTATGCAGATACAGACGATAAAAGTGACAAGGCGCTTAAAGAGTGTTGTTGCTCAGAGGAAGTTTTTAACCTGCGTTAGCCCTTCGCTGCGGTGTCCTTGTGCTGCGCGTCTGAGGACTGACCTGTGGTTTTTGTGGGCGGACAGGTGACAGCTGCTACAGCACAGAAGGTCACATGACTCACAAAACAGCTCCAAGGGCTCCTGTCTGTGAGAGTGGCACATTAGGAGGGAACAAGGATACGACCCCGGGCCTAAAAGAGACAGACAGACGGGGGAGGAGGGGAGAGAGAGAGGGGCATTAGTAATACACGCTGGTAGTAATTCACACCCGGAGCCAGAGGAGGGCCCCCAGTGTGCAGAATTTAAACAAAACACAAAGAGTTTGTGTTGAAAATGACGGAAAGATTAGTCTCATCAGTAAAAGTATATATTACACGTTCACATTCATAGTAAAGTGGTCGTTGAAACCTGTACTGCTACTCTTCCACAGGCAAGAAGTTAAAAAGATGTGACAAATCATGAACTTTAGAAAATGTCCTGACAATTGGGTCCAGACATTATCTCTGTTCATCCTGAGATATTTCTATTCTCTTTGGGTTTTTTGTCATTTTGTGTCTGTTCTGTGTTAGAAATGTCATCAACATGTCCACTGTCCTGCTGTGAATCCTGTGGACAATATCCTGCTGTAGTCTCACTATCATTCTCTAGCCCCTCTGGAAACTTTCAGGAAAATATCCAGAGTTCGGTGCATGTCTGAAAGCAGCTACAGTATGTTGACACGTGAGATTAAAGCTCACTTACCTGTGCACTTCAAAACAAAGACAATACCATTGTGGGAAACTGGGACAGTGTTAAAAGTAAAGTAAATTGGGTGTCAAAGTTGAAAGTGAACATTTCAGTGCTGTCCAGCAAGCACACACACAGACAGACACACACTCTCACACACACACACACACACACACACACACACACACACACACACACACACACAAAAATATCAAATAACTAACACTAAAAATATCCCTCACATATTTCTAAATGGGTCACTATAAAAACTGTAGACTTACAGAGGGTTTATCTAACAATAGCTGGATGAGGCTAATGAACACGGCTGCTGCTCTCTGCTGACCAGCTCACCTCAGCCAACCCTGCCTGCATATAACACATCTGTGGTGCAGAGAGGAGCATCGCCCTGTGTGCATCAGATCTATTTGAATGACCACATCCTGTCAGTCAGCACAGTCACACAGCTTTTTCTCACAAGTGCACAAGCGAAACAGTGACACTGCCACATCACAGTAAAGGTGTCTACTATGTTTGTTACAATTTGACAACTGGCACAAAGCAGACCTGCAAAAGCAGCTGGCAACGAACCTGCCAGGCAGACTGGAGGGTCTTTAAATAGCAACATACTAATATTAGCAAAAATGAAATTGTGTGAGCCTTTCAGAATCTGGGTCACGTGTTAAATATGGGTGTAATAAAACACAGGGATCTCTAGAAACTATCATCCACCATTGCTATGGTCATGCATTATTCATAACAACAGCTCCTTCAGAGACATGATTAACAAACAGAGCACAGAAAGAAAAACAAAGAGGCACAAACAGGATTTCAGGGGACACTGAGAGAGACAGACTGTGTAGCCCCATTAGTGATCTGTCAAACATGCCCTGAGAAGTTGGTGTAATAAAGTCCTGAAGCACTCAAACATCTTGCCTTGTCCGGTCGGTGGCATGGAACTGGAGCCTCTCTGGTGCTGCTCAGGACACTGGGGGGCACTGGGCCTCTGCTGCTGCTGGTGTAGGTCTGCACACTGGGATGTGGCGGGGGCTCTCAGGTGCTGATGCACATCTGTGCACTGGTAACACAACCACTTGTTGCAGAGTGTACACAGACTCTGTGCAAGTGTTGACTCTGAGCACTCTGAGCAGATCTGACAGGGACACACCGAGAAAAACCTCCTCTGTTGAAGATGTACATTGAAAACAGGTGTACACACACACACACACACACACACACACACACACACACACACACACAGACACACACACACACAGAGCAACGTGATAGAAAGATGAGGTGACGTATGTCAGAACTGCTCGTGTTGCTGCCTTACTTCGTGCCAAATCCCACTCGTAGTTCTTCTGCTTGTAAATGGCTCAGAGACTTTCAACATAAAACTAAACCTGTGTTATTGAATCCCATGTTTACCATCATTTAAATGCTGAATTAATTTACCATTCAAAAACCATAATGTATGGAAACAAATGTAGGTAAAAAGGATTTTGACAGTTTTATTATTCAATAAGAAGATTAAAGTCTCTTGTGTTTACTTGTGATTTTCTTCCAGTTAAGAGCAAATAAAAAAGCACATAAACTGTCAACTGAAATCTAGTGAGATGATTCACAGAGTAGCAGTTTTCACCTAAGTAATACTTTATTAATCTCTGTGGGGAAATTCATCCTCTGCAGTCGTCCCTTCCAAACAATTTAGGAGCAGTGAACAGCGCCTCAGGACCAATTTCAACTCTAATATCTAAAGTGTCTTTTGCGGCGGGAAGAGAGCAACACAAACATGCAAAAGATGCCAACTCTGCACGGCCTCAAATTGCCCTACAGAGGTTCAATCACAGGATCAACTCAGAAAGTGGTGCAAAAAAGAAAGAATCTCCAGACGAATTTAATCTTTAGCTGTGTCAGAAAACGAAAGAAACAACGGTAAACAAAAAAAATCCCCTTACCTTCTCCATTTCGGTGCTTTGAGAGTAGAGCAGTTGGGTGGGAGAGGAGTGAGAGCAGTCTGACGCCTCAGCAGCAGAAACACTCACGCTTCTACCTAAAGGCAGGAAGCAGTGCGCACCAAGAGGTGGCCCCAGAGGAGACGGCTTACATGACAGTCTCACTGTGCTCCCTCCTCCCCGAGTTCATCCATGTGTAGGACCCCCTCGCTGCCGCAGAGGAGAGAGGCATCACGTTCAAATTCATCCCCTGCTCGCTGGTGCAGCTAACACACACAAAAAAAGGGAGAAAATCTAATCCTTTTTCTTAAGTAAGCCTGTGCATAATAATTGGGAATTAGGGAGATAAGATAATTATTTTTTTGTAGGGCAAAATATCCCCGCAAGCCCTTTCCAAAATGGAAGAAGGAAGACCAAGTGACCTACAATGAGCAAGGAGGGAGAAAGTGTAATGTAAGCAACTTTTGGGTTTGTGGATCGGGCATAGTGCAGCAGCAGTAGGTGATGCTAGGCTCTGGTGGTGTCGAGATGGGCGAGGGTGGGCCGGCTGTGGCCTTCTTCTCCTCGTATGCAAGAGGAGGGGACAGATCCCAGTGGAACTACACACTAACGTAGCTCTCCGAAACCGGGTCAGGCTGAGCTCCAGATGGGACCAGGATAGTCCTGCAATTCCCTCTAACACTGTGAAATCAATTAAGATTTTAACTCAGCAACAGCAGCAGGAGGAGAGTAAGAGAATAGAAAATGAGACAACTTCAGACAAAGGAAATTGTCTGCAAAAGAAAGAGTTGCACGATGATATGAAAGTTGAAATAGGGGACGGGGTTAACCACAAAACTTTCAACACACGCTGATCATCACATATAGCCCAGAATCAAACCAGTATGATATCTGGAGCTGGGAGCAAGTCTGCCTGACAACAACCCCTGCAGCCTGACCTACAAATCTGACAACTTTCTCATCCTTGGGTGCTTCAGTGGGGAGCTCAGAGCAATCCCATTCCCCATTGTGCACTCAAAGACCCAATTTGAAACACAATTAGTCAGTCGCAGTACGCCCTGCCTCTTGTTCACTCAGTTCTGTAGCATTTTCAAACTGCGCACTTGCCTCCCTTGCACCTCCAGCAGCTTTTATCTGAAATCTCCACTGCTGGCAGCTCCTCTGCTCTGCTAAGTGAAGCTGGCAGTGGATGTGCATGCCATCTCAAGAGATGTCACAATAATAGAAACCTGTGCAGTGATCTGTCCCTTGAAAGCATCCCCCCATGCAGCTTCTATTAACACTGCAGTGATGAGATCACAGAAAAATCAAGATTACCTTCAACCACTCAGAAGTTATCATGCCATTTTATGGCTGTATCTCCCCAAATCAACTATTCTGTTCTGCACAGAGATCCACCAACAGGAGCAGCTTGACTTACCTTCTGTTTGGAAAATGCAAATAAATCTTCAATACAACCTACAGCTGGATATCAAAAGATCTCTCTGACAGAGTTCCCCTCTGGTAAAAAGTCAAGCTTCAGATCCTGCAGCTCGCACATAAACAAGATGGTGAAAATATATTTGCCCAGTTCTGTTTTATCTTTTCATCATGTGGAGCTTGAACTGCTGCAGCTGATGAGATCTCACAGTGGGCCACCGTTGAAATTCCCAAAACCACACTTTTACTTTCTGTTTGCTGTAGCAATTTACTTTATACAATTGTTATCTCTCGTTTTAAAACATTCTCAAGAAGTAGAATGGCACTCAGTAACCTGTACACCTCCACCAAGGCCCAATGCGCCACTTAAATTCATCCAGGTCGCACCAAGGTGGATAAACTCATAGATATCAGTCCCCTGAATATGCCTCATCAAGATTCATGAATTATTCCCTGTAAAAAACATTTCCTATCTCACAAATGTTAAAGAAAGTGAAAAAGACAAAGTCCCAGCTCCACGGCGATATTTAACGAGTATATTGTTTGGTTGTTTTTTCATAATCCTGCTGACAAACCAACCAAAAGAGAGGGGAGAACACATAACGTCCTTGATGGAGGTAATAAACCTTATTCATTTTAAAGTGGCATGCATACATTTTTGACCACTAGGGGTTAGAAAAAGTCTTGCACATTGGGACTAAGCTCTGACATATTAATGCTTTTTAAAGGTTTACGTTATCTATTAATCTTGGTTGTGATGATGCTCAAAACATTAAGCATTGGTATCATGTGGCACTGGGTTGGCTTTGTTTTGGGTTATTTAACATATACATGCTACATTTGGGGCAAGTCATGCAAAAAGCATACCACTGATTTTTATTGTGATAAGGATGACACACAGTTGGATCTCCCCCTGAAGTTTGGGTCCACCAATATTTCCCATATTATTACAATTTTTGTCTTTGTTTTGACTTTTCTTATTATGACTTTATTCTCATAATATATTTTTGACATGTATTATTCCTTCTCTTTTTAAATTAAGACCTTTTTCAATTTGTTCAGATTGTTTTAAAGGTTCAGTGTGTAAGATTTAGGTGAAAGGGAACTGAACACAAAATAATCCTAGTTTAATTTTTTCACTGGTGTGTAATCATCTAAATTGTATTGTATTGTTTTCATAGAATGGGCCCTTTATATTTAAAAACTTCATATTTACATGGAGGGGTCCTGTCTGTGGAGGCCGCCATGTTTTTTTTTACTGTCATCCAAACTGGACAAATCAAAACCTTTCGAGTTTTCATGACAACTGTTCACCACAGGTTCTCTCTCATGTTGGGAAGGGGAGGGTGAGATGAGGAGTATTCAGCTGCAACATGCAACTTCACCTCTAGATGTCACTAAATTCTTCACACTAAACCTTTAAGTGTCCCTAGTACTCTGTTGTATAGGTATTGTTGATACTATTCATAGTAGTACTTTATGTTTTGGAATCTATTAAGTGCATTAGCCTATCCATTGTAAATTACTCTGTAACTTTGAGTTGAGCCTTTGTGGACACACTAATGCAGTTGAGTTGTTTTGCTCAAGCTTCGGGAATTTGGAAATAGCAGTGATTTCCTTGTGGCGTGTTTCACTGGCGACCTGTTCCCTGTGCGCATGGATGTGACAGTGACAGCACTTTGTTATTAACTGCGTCTTCGCCTAATGACAAACACGTCAGTCAAACCGCAGAGAGGTACCTGGCCCCGCAGCCACAGACTGCTGCTGCCTCTGCATCATCATCCTCGTCCTCATCCTCCTCATCCTCACCTCCAGCATCACTGATGTTTTAGAAAGTGCGCATGAGATTACGCCCTTGTCATGGCACCATGCTGCAATCCACCACGCAACCGGAGGACAGCCGATCACACCGAACATCTGGAGAACACAGCATCCGGAGTGTGTGTCTGTCTGTGCGTCAGTGTATGTGCGCGCAATATTATCTGCAGCTCGTGAGGCGCACAGCTCGTGCAAAACATCCCATCAGGTACAACATGAGTGTGAGCGCGCATGAGGATGTGAGGAGAAACTTAACTTCTGTCAGTCAGTCTCATGATGGCAGATGTGCAGCACTTCTCTTTCTGTTCTCCTTCTTTTCTCTTTTCTCTTCCCTTCGTTTCATTACCTTGTCCCGTGCATCTCCGTGCGTCGGTCGGTCCTCCCCCATCGGATGTGGCTCTTTGGACCTTCCTAAATATTTTGGAGAGCAGACACCAAGTCTCGCAGTTAATCGTGAGACTTTCTGTTTGTTCTCATGCAAAACTAATGACGTCTCTCAGAGCGGTAGTGTGACTGGACTGTTTGTGTTTATAGGGGTGGGTGATGTCACTGCTGCCCATGTGACAGCACTTTACCCAAATAAAAACAACAACAACACGAGGTGAAACAAATCTCCCTTATAAATTAAAATCATGTATAAGACAGTGTTATATTTCAATGTAATGCTATTGCTGTATTCACATTTAAGCAGCGTTTAAGTTATAGGTATATGTTGAATATACAGTATTATAAACAGTTTGGTTGTTTAAAGTGAAGTATTTCAAGAAAATATACCCCCAAAATTACATGTGATTAAATGTACTTTGTTACCTTCCAGTACTGCAATCAACGCAAGATGATTCGTATCCAAGTCTTCAGATATGAATGATTTACTTTTTACATGTTGTTACCATGTTTTTAAATGCCTTTGCCAACCAGTGCAGTTTCAGTCTTCATACATTGTTTCCAGACTAATACTAGAATAATAGAGGTCAGCATGAAATCTAACCAATTCATCTTTGAGTCCAATTGACAACTGAACAGAAGTTCCCTTCAGGCAGATTGTGTTCAAGAAGCCAAAAACTAGATGTGTGCCTGTGACCTTGACCTTTGACCATCCAAATCGATCCAGTTCATCCACGAGTCCAAGTGAACGTTTGTACTTTATATTTGCATTTGGAGCGGGTCCTCTCTACGGAGGCCACCATGTTTTTTTACAGTAGCCCAGACTGGACAAACTAAACAACTATTGAGTTTTTTATGACAATTGAAGGTCGCCACAGGTTCATGTTTGGAAAGTCACTGGAAATCACTCAAACTTGAGAATCATGAATGTTATTATTATTATTATTGTTAGCTGTGGTAGTGGTTGTGCAGCAGTATCCCTTTATACACAACACAGTTATTTAACAAATGTCACCCATTAATTGCTCTGAAAGGCCACGAGCAGAGGAAAAGGTAACACAGAGGCTGGAGACAACAGTGAGCATCTCAGTGAAGCGAGCTAATAACAGCGACAGCCACCAGAGTGATGTGCACAGACGTAATTAGGTTACCAGCAGCATGTGGCGGCTGCTGCTACACTCACTGTGTCTTTTGGGATCTTACCAGCTTCTCATAACACATACAGTAGCTTTGGGGGAAGCTGTCATTGAGACGTAAAAAGAGGTGATTTAATGTCATGTGGTAAAATGTGAATTACATATTTCTGTGTCCAGATGTGCAATGTGTAGATCTGGGCCTTTGTTTATGGGAGACAACAAAACTGAACACTAACAGATGTGGAGTGAATCTGATTGATCTGTTAATCTGATCTGCTGTCTATGTTTCTGTCAGTATTTGTTTTGTCTGTGATTACACAGATACTACTGAACAGATTACTACGACACCTGGTGGAAGTATGTGGTATGGATCAGAGAATACCCCACTACATTTTGGTGCGGATCCAAATCAGGGGACTGACCTTGTTTTTACATTGCGTGACAGGTCATTTTTAAAAGCTTTCTTTGATATCTCACAACAAAATTAGATGTTTCACAGACTGATACATATCAATCAAACATCCAAAATCAAAATAATGAATAATAATCAGTCAATAATAAAGATAAAAATTCAGATCTAGTCCATTTAAATGTGGTTTCATAAGGGGACTGAATGGCCTTGGTGGACATGACAGATACAGTTTCTGTTTAAAGTAAAAATACAGGAAGTAATTCATGACGGCAGATGAGTCGAAACAGGTCTTGGAAAAAACAATATTTACTGTGTATATGTTAGTGAGCTCAACACTGTGCAGTCAGGCATTTGATGTATTTTAACTACCATTTTTAATAAAATATTGCAAAAGACTCTATGAAGAGTTACAATCATTTTCTTCATTGTCTTGGTGCATGTACAGTTTTGGAATAAGTTTTACTCTCCTGAAACAGAGGACAACACTGTTGTGAATGAATGTAAAAGAATACATATACAAACTGTACATCTTTGCCCATATCAAGTTACACACACTCACACATTCTGACAACACTCTTCATAAGCACAGTGGTTAATCTACAGCTCACTCGTTGTGTACCGCCCTGCCTTCACTATAAACATACACTGAAGGGGATCACAGCCAGTTTACAGTGAAATAATAATATGTACACGTTTACAAAATGGGAGAATGATCATGATGCAGAGACTCGAGACATCAGGTCTTCAGTTTGGAGGAAGAGTCCTCAGTTCTTTTTGTGGAGAAACTTCATTTTATTTCCTGAAAGAAAAGAAAAAAACGGATCTGTTAGCTAATGCAAGAAGCAAAACATCTGAGAGTGCTTTTTAAGGCCTAAAATTCAGATATCTAAATTTTAGGCTTTTTAAGACCCAGCGGAAAACTTGAAAAACATGTGACTATTTTTTATGTTCATGTTTAATTGCTGGACACAAGATATCTCCTGCTCCACTGACAAGTCACTTGTCAGTAATAAGTATTTTGATTCAAGTTCCCACATCATACTAGAAAAGTTGCACATTTTGGAACAGAGAAACTTTGGAATTTCTCTTCAAGGGAGTCATGTTGCACAATTTAAAACTGGTAAAAATGTCAGACTTCTAGAATGTGACGGCAGCCTTGTAAAATGTCTGCAGCAGAACTCACCAAGGCCTTTCAGGAACTTGTTGACTCCACTCTGCTCTGTGTCTGGCAGCTCCTCCAGATACTGATCCACCCTCTGCTCAAACAGCCCTGGGAGAGCAGGGATGAGGAAAACTTTCAGCCACTAGAGGTCAGTGTGAGCACAATATCCTATGCGACACAATGAGGCGTAAACCTCCAGAGGTGGAAATCCACACAGGAAGGTGCTCAAAGGCAGAAAAAGGATATTAATAGATATAAGGGCAACTCATGGAAATGACAGTCTACCTTTAGCACGTGTCTTCCTCAGCTCTCGATCCTGAATGAACCCTGCAAACATCTGAGACTCCATGAAGACGCCGAGGAAGCGACGGATGCTTTTGGACGCCACAGACTTGCGGAAGGCCTCCCTTTGAAAAACACGCTCTCCACGCTCATTTTGAGTGATGAACAGTGAGTAATGGCCAATGGTCTCCAGAAAGAAGCGGATGAAGGCCTCTGACACCAGGCTGTTCAAGGAGTTATACTCTGTGGACGCAAACGAGAGGAACAAAAACACAGTCAGCTTTTCACAGTACTTACATTAGTATCTTTAGTCAAACGATAAAACAGACAATGTCCCCATGTTCCAAAGAAAAAGCCAGATTGTAAGAGTCATACTGGAGAAGAATGCATGGTTTGGCTTGAATCTTACAACAACAAAACTCACCCACTGTGTGGATATTTGGGGACGTATCTTATAACTCTTGGTCAAATCAACTTGAATAAAATCAAACCACAAAATAAGAAACAATAATAATGAGGTTGCCATTTTATTACATCTATAGCTCTTGAACTGGTGCTGTCGAAGAACGCCAAAAACATAAAAGAAAACTAGAGCTATTGGAAAATCTGAGTGTGTTTACAGAGACTCTGAGCTTCATGGCTAAAGACAAGACTAGGACCATGGATGTTACTTCTCTGAAATTCAAATTAAATAAACTTTGAATGAGTCTGAGGAAAATAAATCTGCCCAGAATAAAACACAGTGAATTTCAGAAAAAAATGAAATCCTTGAGGCACAACCATAACTATAACTATAATGGCCTTACCAAGAGTGACTTAAGGACAATTCCATCATTACTGGACATTTTCCTTATTCCCTACACTCTCTTAATAAATTCAAGAATTTAAATATCTTCCTGTCATTAGTGTTTAGTACATTAAACATTAGGCAGGTGGCAGCAGGGTTTCTGTATGTTTCAACAAGATTAATGTAAGAATTTTCAAGACCTTTTTACAACCATTATTCATTACATGTAAGACCTATGTCAAGTACGACAGATATGAAGGAAATCACAGTCCTACAACTATTTACAAAACATCTACAAATGTCTATATCGTTGAGAAAGAACTACAGAACACAGAGACATAACATACAATGTGATGTATTTCACTCTAAAAGAAATGAAAAGGCTATTTTTTAAAAGCATGGCATAGGTAGTGTCTAATGAACACAAGTGTAGTGGGTCATTTTTCTGAGTTGTAATCAGTTAAACATCAGTGTTTTTACACTGTGAAGACATTCCATCTTCATATCTATCCTCCAGGTGTAAACATTTCAGATTGTTCCCATACCGGGAGTTGAACCCGGGCCACCTGGTTGAAAACCAGGAATCCTTACATTACATTAGAAAATGGAGGAGAAAGAAAACATTTTGTCTCAGTTGCTGTTGACTTGTTTTGTCAGGCCTGTTTGACCTTTGCCTTGTTTTACCTAAACTCTTTGGATCACATTACATCATCAGAAACACTGAATCATCTCAAAGTCTCTGTGACTCAGTGACGTGGGAACAAAAGACGTCATTTTCCCAGTGAATTTCACAAACATGGGCGGAACATGTTCATTCAGAGACGTTGCTCTAATCAAAAAAAACATCCGTTTTGGTCTGGAACGATGATTTGTCACTTATTCACCTTCGTCTGACTCGCTGTCAGAGTCCTGACTGATGATGTCATTCCTCTGCTCCAGCGCTTGCTCAAGAGCCGCTTGAAGTTTGCGCGGCAACAGTGAGGCCTCGTCGTCCATCTATAAACAATCAGAGACATTGCAGTCGCTCGTGATAAACAACCATGTTTGTAGAGGAAGTTTCAAAGGCTCAGATGTCATCGAATGAACCACATGTTCTACGACCCTGTGTAACACAGGGCTCGATTTTACATGAAGATTAAAACCTCTTATGGTTAAAAAGTTAAATACTTAAGAAATAAAACTCTCCTTCACTTGCCCAAAACATTCACAGCCTTTGCTGCTTCAGCCTTATGTATTCTGCTATAACCTGAAACTTCTAATGGCAAGAAATGTAACATGGTTGGTGTCTTAAAGCCATAAACCATCCAGAGGCTCAGTGATGTTTTTTCAGCAAGTGACTCCAGCCTGTCCCAAACTCTATGCTCAGGATTTATTTCACGCGCTCATAGACTAACCTGTCGGATGAATCGGTCAGTTCCAAGGTCCACCATCAAAGCCTGAGAAGAAGAAACAGAGGCATAACATGAAAACATGCTATTTTATCTGTTGCATGCAGAGCTACATTTGTTCTGAAGAATCATCAAAGGTTCAGATGTAAAACAGATTTAACGTTTTCATGAGTCAGTCACCAACAGGACGAGTAATGTAACAGACAGCAGATGTTGACAGCCCATTAACGGCTCAGTGTAAACAGTGACTGAGAGGGTCTTTCCCAACTACCAGTCTGAGAGGTGTACGAACATGTGGTCAATGAGACTGACTAATATCGAATATTAGGGACCAATGCCAGTTCTAGGAAGTAAAAACATTTCCACAACAGTCAATGGCAAAGATTATTGCAATGATGTTATCAAACCCAAGGAAATGTGTTTGATTGTTGANATATGTACATATTGGGCACTGTTATTATGAATCATAACCATAGACTGTATTCAAAGATGGACAATATGTCTCCACTTTCTGCCATTATCCAGAAATGAAGTATCTTAGATATGAACACTGTCATTTTGTGCATTTGGAGCCAGAGTCTGTGCAGTAGCTATCTTGGGTTGGAGCTACTGTATTGAGGTCCCACTGATATATGCGTTCGTACCAATTGTCAGTCCCAGCTGTCAATCATGACATTTCTGTTTATAAAGCGTCAAATAACTAATGAACTACAAAATTACTGGAAAAATCATCCCATGTTCATATACATTCTATGAAAGGAAAGGAAAACATTTTGAACTTGAAATAAAAGGAAATAAATAGAAATGTATTACGTAAAATGTAAACATGAATGATCGTCTTTTCAACATTGAAAAGAAAATCCAGAGATGACTCACTCACCTCTTCTACAGGCAACTCTTTGAGTTTAGGCAGCGAGCTGGACAGCAGCCCCACCAGGAAGGGAGTGGGACAGCAGACAATATCCAACATGGAGCCTGGCAGCACAGGGATGAAGGTGTGTTGCCAGGAGAAGGGGTAAAGCAACGCCACCACTGCGTGCATGCAGCTGGACAGGGTGCTGATGATGAGAGGCAAAGAAAAACAAAGACACACCATCAATCACCATCACACTCACAAAACAAAGGGCTGCAGAAGCCACACCAGATTAAACCAAACACGGTCGAAACATGGCAGACGTTTCGGTAGATAATGAAAGACTTAGGGGGCCGGTGGATTGTGTGATAAAACATTTCACTAAAAATACCACATCATGACACCTACAGGAAAAATCATTAAATCTTTAGTTACACACTGAACCATCAGAACACAAACAGGATTTCAGTCTCTGCACTAATTTTCCAAGCTAAATAACTGTTTCATCCTCTTTTCCCTGAAACACTTGCTTCATTTGAGTCGGAACATTGCAGCTATGTGCGTCCAGTTCTGGCGCTTTGCTCTTCCTGCAGCTCGTCTGAGGGACGGCAGGATCCAGCAGCAATTCTTACACTCCGACAGTGGTGGCGTGACTCTGACATGTTGCTATAGTTAAGCTGGAGGCTTGTTGACGCAATACCAGAAAGAACGAAATTCGGATTAACTCCGACAGCTGTGGCATAACATCGAGATCACAAATAGCAGCCTGTCTTTCTCACGATCCGTCGCTTGTTGACAGTGGCTGACCCTCCTCCCCCTCTGTCCTCTACATACTGTCTGCTGCATGTACACAAAGAGAGTGAAAATAAACTACGGGTCCAATCACACAACACACACACACACATCACACTAAATCAGTATGGATCTAAAACAAGACCAGGGATCAAACATGGTATGAAAACGCATCTCACTTGAGATATATACACTTTTAATGAGGAATGTTTTTCATGCTTGTTGCAGACAGAAGATCCAAGTAAACAGAAGTCGCTCCCTTTTAAGTGACCTCACTCACACTGTGTTTCAGCCCACAGAGGCTCCACTGACTAAATGTTACTGGAACATACACAGAGAGCTGAGATCAGTACCAGCATCCATGTGCTGAGGTAAATGACAAACTGCCTCAAACCTTTCCAGTTTTCTTTCAGGCTACAGATTGGCCACAGGCCTTTTCATCTTCTATTCCCATGAGTCAAATTGCCAAGATTCAAATGTGTTTTCTTGACAGAGTTACACCAGTGAAAACCCATGGGCTACGATAACCACAGCTCTCAGTGCTTTCAGGTCCTTTTCCAGTTCATTCTTAACATGAAGCACTTGCAACTTTGCTTTGGCCGGTCTGATTTCCATTTGCCTGAGGAGGGCTTGATAATTCCTACCAGATCCCGTCTCCTGGGTTTGACGGGTTCCAACAGAGAGTGATGGGGCACAGATCTCAGGAAAACCTTCGCCACAGGCTACGAGCGGCCCTGCACGCCACTGATACCAAGAGGATCAATTACATTCGTTCCCCAACCACACTCTCTAGGGAGAAGATGAACTTGCAATAACAACACTCTGAGACGGTAGATTCAGGCCAAAACATAATGAGTACATAATGTAATGAATAACTGGGACTCCTAAAGAGAACAGAGCCACAGCTAATGTTATCAGGAAAGCTTTAGCAGAGGGAAAGAACTAATATTCTCTTCTGAACAAAATTTTAATTTGGTGGGGAGTCAATGAGGCTTTGCGTTACTTCATGCAGAACATGGAAGTCATATGCCCCAGCTGTGATCAGCTGACAGCCTGCTGATTGTGGTCCAACCAGTCACACACCAATCATAGCTATTCTTGCTTCAAGCTGTCCACTTCCTGTAAATAGGACATCCTCCTCATGATCCCTGATACCAGACTGCTGCCTTCACCACCCCAGTGTCTACCCCCCAGAGTCTTTACCAGGCTCAAAAGTTTGAAACGGTACTCAAAGTCCTGCTCTAGGCTCAATCTTATATAGAGGCTTTTCTGCATTGCACTCCTTATTTAGCTTAGCGTGTTACTTGGCTAATTCAGGGAGCAATTTACAAGTGGCGCCATCAGCACCAAGCCAAACTGTATTTCCATTTGTTCCAATAAATGCTTGAATTACGAGGAAAATGTTCCTGACTGAATCTAAGTAGATAAGTGCAGACTCAGCAGTCTGTTTGCAGGATTAGGCAAATACTACTGAACTGATTATCTTGACACTTGGCAGAGGTGTGGTGCAGGTTTGATTTCGCTTTCTTTCACAATGCTTGATAACGTTTTTGTGAATTTCTCGAGAATTAATACAGAGATCTTGATGAAAAAATCAGGCATACTTAGAGGAGAGATATGTATGACTGGGTGCAGCTTGACTGAATTAAAGGGGATTGTTAAACCTTGGTGGAGGTATGCGGTGCACTGAGTGCCATTCTAGTGGTATGAGTCATTTTAACTGACCTTAGCCTCAAAAAAAACGACAGCTGATTTTGACTGATCCTTACTGAAACCCGAGCTATGAGTGAATCTATTTGACCAAAGTGATGCAAATTTTATTTAATGTTTAACCCAAATTTTCACTTTTAAAAACTACACCACACAAGCAAGAACCCAAGATTCATTTCATTGAAATTTCACTTTCATGCCCCCCACTCTCAGGAAAAGAGAGGAGAGCCAATTCTGCAGAGGTGAGATCTGAGCAGAGCTGCGATGTGTTGAGGTTTGGGGGCTAATCCTGACATATTAGCTCTCGTAGGTCTGCCAGGCCTGGTTTAGTGTGTGTGAGGCTGAACTGGCAGATACTCCAGGAAACATGGGATCGAGAGGCTTAGCCTGTGAAGCCTAGAGGAGGACGAGGAGTGGGAAAATTTCAGTGCTTGAGAAAGTGAGAGGGCCAGAGTCAAGAGTCTGTATCACCACATGCTTCACAGCTCTTCTAAAGCACTGCACTGTGTCTATCAGTCCTGCCACGGCTAAGACTGATTCCACAGACTGAGGACAAAGAGGAATAGACTGAAGAGCAGCTGTCAGACTCCAGCTGTGGCGCAAAGCTCCGCAAAACCATTCTTCACTGCTAAAACTTTTCCCAAGCTCAAAATAATACCAAGAGATCATCTACAGAGGCTGCAGCGTACACTTAGACCTAAAGGATTTCTACAACAAGCCGCACATGCACTTTCTATCTGCTGTTCCTTTAGTTCCCTAATGGTTTTCCCTCACTTCCTGTCAATAAGCACCTCCAGCCACTGGTCCTCAGTCTACAGCTCTCCGGCTCCACAGAAGGCGACAGCAGAAGCCACTGAGCGATGAGAAATAGCTTCCTGGTGGGAAACTCTATACATGCTCTTATTAAAACCTCAGGAGTGTCTCAGTTTGATCGAGGCCGTCTTGAGAGCAGATCAACGTGTGCAGGTGTTTGTGTATATGAGCGTCTACATGTGTATGCGAGCGTCAACGCATGGGTGTAAACATTCACAAGAGCGGCTCTGATGTAAAAATCAGCTGGGGAGGCTCCAGTAATAGCCGAGGCTTTTTGAAAAACAGAAACATTTCGCATGTTTACAGTGTGTCGACTTCAGTCTACCTCAGAGCCAAGTGCCACATGGAAAACCGGTTAAGTTGTTAAAAGGGGTTTTGGCTTCATGCCAGGTCTGCAGAGCGTGTTTCAGAAAGTGTCTGAGAACAACCAAAGACTAAATGAAATGAGTATGCCACCATACTTACTGATTGAAAAAGTGCCGGCGGCACTAGCAATAATTCTACCTGTCAGAGGATTGCAGTCACATGTTGGTGCCTCCAACTCACATTCAGACACTGAATTATAACAAAAACAAAATATGAGACCAGGTAAGCTACTAAACATAGATTCACATTATTTATTATGTCGTTATATAACCAGTGTTGAGTTTTTACTAAGGGGACACCAGAGAGTGGAACTCAAGCTGCTGTATGTTGGAAAGGTGAGCTTGATTAATTCACAGTGTCTCAGAAAAGTTTAGAAGCCACTGTTTAGTTTTCTGTCCCCCCCTCTCCTCTCCAACAGATTTATCTTCTTTCCTTATAGTATTTTTTCTTGTTCTTTCCTACATCAGTCAATAGACACTCACTCACTTTTTATTCTTGGACTCAACTAGAAAAACTGCATGATTCACAGAATTAAAAAACAGTCCTTATTATTATTCAGTCCCACAGTTGAGCCTCTGACTTCCACAGGTAATATTAGATCATCTTCTAAATGTCCAAACATCTGGAAGCACACTGAGTACTTCATCCTCTGACCTTTGTTTTGGTTCTGAAAGCAAACTGTAAAACTGCTGACTGTGTATAAAGATGAAAAACATGACAGTGTCTGTGTTTTGATCGCCACCTGGTGGCTGGTTGCAGTTTAGGTCATAAATCTCACCTCCTCCAAAGTACAGGTCAAATAAGTTTTTCTCAAAGATGGATTCTGTGATTTTAGGAAGTTCATGTGATCATTTGCACAGTAAGTTTGGTTTTGATCACTTATTTGATGCTTTAAATCTGTGAAGCATCATATACACGAAGCTCTCAACTGCAGCCGTTGGTTGAAAACGTTTGATTTCAGGAAATTCAAAGTTAGCATTTTTCTGTTGCTGCCAAATGACTGTACAGTAAACCTGTGTTCTCATATTTGTATGCTGGAGTACAATAAAAAAACTGTTATACCATTCAAGAATTCAACAAGCTTATAGCATCAATTCAATAAAGAAAGAAAAAAACACTGAAACCTGAAGTTCAGTGTTTGATGTCTGAGCTTTTACATCAATTACGTCATTCATAATATTTGAATCTTTGGCAAATTATATGACAGATTTCTTTTTCATTTGCACAAAAATGTTAAAACATTGGATTTAATTAAAAAAGTAGCACAGTGAAGAAATTCATCTCGATCCAACATGTAGTAATACTTTTACTGTAGGAATATTTCACTGCCATGCCAACAGATACATCAAGACATGCCCTTAAGTTTGTTAACAACCTGAACTCCAGACTGACAGACGCTGTTCACATTAGACTGCAACACAAACCTATTTAGCATCTGCAGGTCAGTGGTTCAGCAGTTAAACAGTGACATCGCTGGCGATGAATTTATCTGATTAGGCATTGTTATTACAGGCATCAGATGTTGAAAGATTCCCTTAAAATAAATTGTCTGTGGCAGCTTTCATGTAGAGGCAACAACCTCTCATGAAAAAATAGTTTCTCACAACAATATCGAGAGTTAACGTGCCAAAAAGCAAGACCCCACAGAGAACTATTGCCTAACATGGTGTTTCCTCTCGGTCCCTGCTTGCACTGAATGTACATTTTGAGGGAAAGAAACATACATCATGTTCCAGTGGCGAGGTATTTTGGGAATGGATTATATACCACAGCCCCAGAGGGAGCAGCCCTTTTTATCATACAAGTCATTGATGCTGCAGTGAGGCCCTTTCGCTGTTTTTAAAAGAAATCAAAACACAGGAGCTCCACATGCGCCCATGCATGCATGCACATCAACACACATACACACACACACATACTGGTTTGAGCAGATTATAGAACTTGTATTTGTTATTTTGTGCCATGAAGTTTCACTTTATGGTATTCTTTCATTTCACTTTTTAAATGATATTTTAACCTTTGACAATCTAAATTTAGAAGTAGATGTTTAGCAATAACAATGTTTACCGTGTTCATCATCTTGGTATTTGGCCATAGACAAAACCACTGAATGAAGTGAAATTTTTACCTCAAGATGGAGAAGCGATCATTTAAGGGATCATCACCTGTGCAAACACGAGAACGCACTTGCACCAAGAAGTGCTGCATTTCTTTAAATGAATATTTCATCCCTTCAAGTACAGAGATATTAAGATTAATCACATATCGTTAAATCACATAATTGCCTGTTATTGGATAATAAATCTTGATAATATTGTATTGTGAGTAAATTCAAGATCCCTGCCCAGTGACTCCTTGATGTTATCACCTCTGGTAATGAGTAGCGGAGGCAGATTTTCTCCAGGGACACAGAGAGTTGCCACTCATACACAGGGAGTGAATGTGGCATCATATGTCAAATAGTGACAGTCGAGCCACAGATCACAGAGGGCAGAGTCGTGCACACAGGAAGTGCATTCCTTCCCCTCACAGTCACTGCCCCCACTGATGTTTGTTTAAACTGGGCTCTGATACATGGAGAGATTACTTCTCTGCTCAAATCTCCTCCCACTCCACCCTCGCCTCCAATCCTCCAAAAGCAAGCCTCTCTTTTTGGTAACAGCAGGACAGACTGGGACACTGAGTCCTTGGAGACTCTTATCAGATGCACCCTGTTCCCCTCTTGTTGTGACTCTCATTTGTGTGACCCAGCTTTACTTCTCGTTATAAAAACTGTCATCTGACTTAATGGACTATTGCCTGACCTTCTAATGGTTCATCAATTTTAATCAATACATAATAATCAAACAGTTCTACACCCAAAAACACTGACAGAACCACAGCACAGTGCATACGAAGGCTGCAGCCTGTCTTCCCCAATCTCTCTATATTTAACACTTGTGCTCCTATCGATAAAGGCCAAATAGCCCAAAAATATATTTTAATAACAACACACAGATGATGTGTGTTTACATATTCTCCATCCATCATCCATCAGCCATCCATCCATTTTCTAACCCCTTCAATTCAGGTCATAGGGACCTGATGCCTATTAAGGTTCTGTTCAGGTGTTTGCGTTGTTCGTCTATCACATGGCTCCACCAGTAGACAACCAATTGTGACAGAGGAGGTGAATTGAATGGCTTGCTTTCATTTGTTTGTGTTTCAATTGTTCATTTGGAGATTAATATTCGGGCTCACCTGAGTTTGTCGGCCACAAAGATGACTCTACGTTCCAGCAGCAGCGAGGCAAAGACTCGTATCACCTGCCGCACGCTGAGGCATCTGAACAGACTGTCAAAGTCCACATGCTCCAGTCTGGAGTCGGTGGGCCGCCTCAGCTCGATGACCTGAACAACCACAGAGGCAAAAACATAGCCAAGTGGTTATGGGATTGATTCTGACCAGCCAGACCACTTACTGCACATTATTCCTCTGCTCTTTTCCCCAGTTTAGTTTGAGCTAATTATTTGTGCATGATTTATGTAGTGACAGAGATGAGCAGAGGTGTCCGGCTTCGTTCACAGCTCTCACCTCATTTCCTGCTCCAGGCAGAAAGGTCTTCACTTTGATAATTTTTCCTGGTGCAGGGAAGGGCGACTCCATCAGACTCCTCATGAAGGGATAGACCAGAGCTGCTGAGACACCTCTCCGCCTCTCTACCTCATCCAGGATCTGAACATTGGAAGAAAGAGCACAGATGCCTTCATATATTTCAACTAATTTAAAAAAACAACATGGCAAGGTTTAAGGTTTTAATCTATAATGTATGAACAGCCAAGAGAGGGAAAACCTGCACCGTCGTCAAGGTTATTGATCTTGGTGACAATTAATGGAAACATATTTTTATAAGCTTGAGTCATTGCAATTGTCTGGAACTAAGTATTCATTTTCTGTTTGGAAAAATTGCAAATGCATTTCTCTCCATGTCTGTGTGATTGGAAAATTCCACCCAGTGTTCCTGTCTGCCTGTTTTGGTCCAAACGGCCTCTGTCTGGAGAGCTGCTCGGAGAATTGCTCGTTTTCAAGGTCTTGTGATATCACCTCTCTCTCTTCATCTGTCTGTGTCTCTCTCTCACGATGACAACAATATCCGTTCCCATTTACCATGAAAGCACTTTAAAAATAGCCTCCTTTCATTTTCAGGTTTGTGTCTGCACTGTTGTCAAAATAGAGACGTCTGAGGTGCTGGACTCTCACATCAATATCACATGATGCAAAACCAAACAAAGCATTTAACATTTAATTTGTTGTGATGCACGGGTTCAACTCAGTAAATAGGTTATTCTGCTTTACTGAACTACAAAAGACACATTTCAGATTTTTCATTTCAGGGATCAGGATTTCAACTTTTTAGTCTTTGATCCCATGCAGTCTCCAAAAGTTCCACAAGGTCCCTGTTTGTTAAATAATGGATAGAGAACACACTGTATGCACCGTCTACAATGTTTTTATTATTTTTATATTGTCATATAGCAGCCACTTTGTTTCCACAGTCTGGATTCACTCACTTTGAATTAATGAAGGAATCAGAAAAAAAGTCACGACTGATCTGCTTCATGTTAGCACCACTGAGACAAAAGTGAAGGAAACATTCGCTCTGGGAAATGAAAACGTTAAAAAAAACAATGTAATAAGGTTTACCAATGAACAGGCCCTTCAGCAGACAGCCTGCTGAAAGTCATTTAATTCAGCTGTGAGACAGGCTGAACCACAGTTATAACCCCGCACAGTTAGCTGTCTGTAGCTGTCTATCCGCATGTGTGTGTGTGTGTGTGTGTGTGTGTGTGTGTGTGTGTGTGTGTGTGTGTGTGTGTGTGTGTATGTGTGTGCGTGTGTGTGTAGCTAGGGGGCAAGATTGAACTCACTGTGGAGAACAAGTCGAAACAGCCCAGCCTGCTGATGACACAGTACACCTCTGGAAGACGCGGCCCCTTCCCTGTCGGCTGTGGGAGAAATCGACAGAGACTCATCGGACACTTGTAATCAACTCAATGAAGAGACACATTCACAGATGTTCTGAAAACTGACCACAAACACTCTTGGGGCAGCAGCTCAGCAATATAGCATTGCACTTTAACAAGCCAAAATATAAATCAAGCCCCAAAATCAGTGGATGCTGCATTTCCCATGATCCAACTGAACTGCACAGTCTCCTTTTCTGCCAAATGTTCACATCTTTTTAAAACCACACCCCCAGGCTTTCTGCTGAAAAACTGTCTCCAAGCTCAGGATGAGATAAACCCTGACATTGTCAGGGATGTTTTCCCAGCTTTAGAGTCATTAGTCATTTTTTTTCACAGACTGAATTCTTTAAAACTAATTTGTTTAATCTAAAGGTAACTTCAGTCAGTAGGGGTCTCTCAATCAAAATGTCTAGTTTAATGATGTTGTGAAGCCGCTTTGGATCATGGGAGATTTTGTCTTTACCATCAATGCTGATGAAAATCTACCGGACATGACTCAGGCTAAAATCATGTTCACGGATGAAGTCATGCTTTTAAGTTTTTCATGTTACGCAGCAAATGCGAATGACTAAACGTGATCCATTATGAGGGACCATTACAAACAGAGGAATGAAACAGGCTAACTGGCTAACAGTGTGGTTTTCCTTCATCATACGTCGTTTGCCCTGGAAGTTACAGCAGGGACTGAAAAAGTCATGAAGAGAATATGATGCAATTGAAAGGCAAGCAAAATCAAACGTCCTGTTACCAATGTGGGATTTCTCTGGGTTTTAACATTTCGGACAATGTAACTACAAGTCAACAAACTATATAAAATAGTTATTTTTAGGCAATTTAATGAAGAATTGTTGCATATTATATCTTAAAACACACACACACATATATTTATATACATATCTTTAGGGGTCTGATTATGATAATATAATATGTAGATAAGCTGTTTATATAGTTTAGCTGAAGTCTTAAATCAAGTCTGTCATCTGAGGTGAAAGTCTTTTATGTGGATACGGAGTTCCTAAACACAGGTGGTTTATCTGCTGCTGCTGATCATATCTACCTTCCTATGTACGCTCACAGACCATTACGTGCTTCCAAAACACAGGCGCACACACACACACACACAGACACTTGAACACGCACACGCACATAGACACTCGTACAAAACACACGCACACACAAATGAACACAAGCACTCGAGAAATGCCAATTCACTTGTCCATATTAGGTATACAATTTTCTCCTCTTGTTTCTCCACTGCTTTTCCAAATGGACGATTAAATCAACTATGTGGAGCTTGATTCAAGTCCTGAGGAATGCTCGGTTGCTGCCAACTGCTGGAAAGACAGCGGGGAGGAAACAGAGTTACTGGAGGAGAGCGGCTCACCTCTTCCTCCACCTTCATTAAAATCTGCTTCTATCAAGCAGATCAGTTCAACAGGGCAGATCAAGCGTGAGAGCAGAGTTAAAAAGGGTTTTTTCTTTGTGTCTTGTCAAAGAATTTCCAGTCAGGATGTCCAGTTGTAACCCTGCACATGCACTTACGGGATGGTGAAGACACGCCCTACAAACGACTGAGAACATACACACTGCAACATACTCAAATACCAAATGGCAAACAAAATGACCACCACATTCACAGAATCCCACACAGTCATGCTCTCTACCCACAAGCTAAATAGGAAACTCAACAAAAAAAAAACCTTCAAAGCTGTTCCCGGGCTCGTTATGAAGAAGAAATGCTCCACAATGACAAAGTTTGGGTTTCTCATGGTTTCTCTTTGTCTTGCCTCTCCTTAGAAACTCTTGTTAAAACTGAAAGAGTCATTTTCAATCATATTTTTATACACTTTATGACAATGACTAAATGTGGACAGTGTGTGGTTATTTCTCTCGGTGATAAAATTGAAATCATATCAAATTCAAAAGATATTTAAAGAGACAGACTTACATTTTGCAGAATTGAAACTAGGTTTATGCATTTTTGTAGCCACTGAAATTGGTGTTAGCGATGTGGTCCGAATGTTTGTTATTCCAGATGTTTCTGTTACTACTTCTAACCATAGGTATTTCCTGGGCAGACTTGAATAACAACAGAAAGATGAGAAGTCCCTGGACCATCATGCTGATCAGCTGCTATAATAATGACTGGCTGGGGTTAAGTGTGCTAAAAAAGGCTATACATTTTTAAACTATAAATAAATTTACACCAGGTTCAGTTTCAAGCAGTTTTCCAACAAGGAGGTTATGTTATGTCTGTTGGTTTGTTTGTTTTGTTACCTCCACCAAGCAGGTTTATGTTTCCGTCTTCATGTTATTGTTTGTTTGTCTATTTGTCTGTCTGCTGGTTCACAGGATTACACAGAAACTATGGATGGATTACCATTAAACTTGGGAAAAGGAGGCCATATCGCTCAGGGAGGAACCCACTAAATTTAGGTGCAGATCGGAATTTGGGTTTCTCACTTTCTTTAACATTTCGAAATAGGGCGTTTTCAACATTTTTGTTGTATCAAAAACCTTCGGCTTGATTAGAGGACTGATATTTATGAGTGTGCACAATTAGTTGAAAATACAAATAAATTTCTGGATCTAGTGAAATTAAAATTTGTTTAATAGGAGGACTTGGGCCTTGGGGAGGTATGTGCTCTACTGAGTGCCATCTTAGTTTGTATATTTGTTGGTAGAGTTACAATCAAAGAGCAGATTTTAACCTTTGGAAATACACTCTTTAGTTTTAGTCACTCTCGGTTACTTTACCTCTTAATCTGTTTTTAACCTTGGTTCAACCTTAGTATTCCTGTGTCACATATGTTGTAGTGATAGGTATTTGTGTCTCCTAATCTGATTTTAACATCTGGTTTTACTGTAATTATTCATGTGTTTATTTATGATGTATTGTAAGGTGTCCTTGGGTGTTTAGAAAGACACAGTGAAATAATTTATTATTATTATTATTATTAAAATAATGAAACTACTTGATGCAGGGATTGGGTATGGGTGAAGTTTGGATATGGATGTAAAAAAATTAAAATATTTATGATGCTGACATCTATGTCTAAACTAGTCAGTCATGAGTAGGATTGTTTGGCCGTGGCAGAGGTAGGCAATCTACTGAGTGCCATTTTAGTTTTCCCTTTTTTATATATGATCTCTTTCCTGCTGCCAAAGTGGATGGTGATGAAACACATCAGTAGCTCCACAGGAAACCATTATAACATGTTCACATAAAGAGCTCTGTCACAACAAACAGGGCCCAGCAGGGTGCAAACAGGGAGGAGGAGATGGGGAGTTAACGGTGGCTTACCAGCAGGCGTCTGCAGTACCCGAACCTCCTGCTGCCGTCCTCTCCAGTCAACATGAAGGAGAAGGTCTCGCTGTGGAAAAAGACAAATTGACACATATAGACAAACTGCACATACACAACAGAAGACACAGGATTTTTGACTTATTCTGGCACAGTTTAACATTTATGCTATGGTGTAGCAGCTGTAAAACACAGATAAGATTTTATCTGACATGCCATCAACACAGGTGGAGGCACTTTTAAGATAATATCAACAATAAGCTGTGTCATAATATTATTATTGGTTAACAGTCTCAAAATGTTCTGTTATCACGATAGTGAATTTATGATCCCTCTAAACCTTGATTTACACATTTAACAGCTTATATTGTTTGGTGTCATCAAGAGTTAAAGCGGAAGGTCAATTTACTCAGATACACAGGACATGGCTTTGGGGGGGCTTTCCAAAGTCAGAGAAAATGGCATTAAGAATATTAGGTGCATCATCTAAATTTTGTTTTTTTTGACAGAAAGTTAGAAAGATTTGACCATTTAACAGGTAGGGATAGTTAGAAGAAAGCCTCCACTGAGTTGTTTAATGTATAGTGCAGGAAATATATCCAGGGACTAAGGTTAAAGATATCTTGGCCGCTGTTGTACAAGGCTCCATTGCTGCTCCATTGATGATGTACATGTACAAGATTCTTGGTCATACCTGGTGTACTCCGAGACAGGACTCCAGTCTTTTGCATCTGGGAAACAGAACTGGGGAATAGCTTTGAGCCTCTGTTCTGCCTCCCTCATCTGCTTGGTGGGCCTCTCTAGCTGTGAGAGGAGAGAAGTCTCAGTCAGCTCAGTCTCCTCCAGTTAACTCTGTCCTCCTTTTTTAAAACCCCCTTGACATCAGTCTGAAGAGTAAATGACCAGAGTATTAATTCTCCCATACAAGGTTAAATCTTTGCCCCACTCAGTCCTCATTAACTCAACAACAGAGCTACTGTTTCGCCCTGGATGGGAGTGATGAACTTCTCCCAGGAGACACTTCTGCTGAACCAAATCTAAATTAATAACCCCTAAAACACACCTGCCACAGAAATGGATTTTGGGTATTACCCTGCCAAGGAGGTTCGTCTGTTTGTCAGTTAGTTAGCAGGATGGATTACTTCATCATTTAGTGGAAAGATGTTTTATGGGTCAGGAAAGAACTTGTTACATTTTGGTCAAGATACCGACCAGGAGCTGGATCCAGGAGTTTATTTTTCTCTATCTTTAACATTGTGAGATACATTGTTGTACATTTTCACAGATTTCTGACGCATTCATTGATTTTGATAAGAAATCAGGCTCATTTATGGGACTGATATCTCTGAGTGCAATTTGGTGCAGCTTATTTTTCAGACTCTAAAGTTCCTGCTTTCAATGACATTCACTACTGTTGACAATGTGGCTCTGACCATCATACGTTTTGCAAGATAGTCAGCAGCTCTGTGAAGTATTTGTGATTCCTAATTCCTGAGCCCAAACACTTAAAACCCCTGAAGAGGTCCTGAAGCTTTTTAGATTTTTTTTTCCATGTGAAAATAAATCAGTCACTATGGATTCTTGTCCTGCCAAGTTTTAAAGGTGAGAGAGCAACAGAGGGAATCGGTTACAGCTTCATGCTTTTACCTTGGGGAACTGGTAGGTGACCTCTGGGGAGTACGAGTTTTTGCTGGGTTTCTTTTTTAGTGAAACAACCACAAAATACTCGAAGAGCTCTCTCTCCTGCCACTCAATGAGCTGCAGCTCCAGTGTGCGGTAGCTAGGGGCCCGTCGAAGGATAGACTGCAGTTTCAATAGCCTTTGGGTGTGAGCTGAGGACAGAAATTAACATTAATACATACAATTTACTGACCAAAGAAAAGTTCACACTTTGCACTCCAACATGTTAGTTTAAGGCTCTCAGAGCATTAGCCTTTAGATAGTCAGGAAATTGTATTAGTGTCATTGTTTTTCATTGACGCTGAACAAACTAGAGAGAAAATATCAGTATTCATTCCTGACATTGAATCTAGATGTGATGAATGTTTTGTGGTCTACTGATAATCTGTGCATGTGGCAAATCACAATTTTGTGGTCTTGGTCATTTTGCTCACTACAAAACTGGGAGGCTGTTGCACAAACACTGAGAAAAACATCCCTGAGAAAAAGTTGAACGCAAACAGAAGTGCAGCATCTCTCCCCTGCATATGTACGCTGTGGTCACTCACCTTTGAACCTGTCATCGGAGTCACTCTCACTCTCACTGTTGTCATCTGGAGACAGACATGAAGGTTTTCCACGGGTCAAAGGCCGATTTTAACAAATGTGTTATGAGAGGGGCATGACGACAACATGGCTAAGAGACAAAATATTTACTCATTTATCTGGTCATAGGGTAAGGGGAGTACAGAGAGCCCTTACCTCTCAGAGATGCAGTTTCCACATTGGACATGGACAGCTTCTTTAGTCTCTTCTTCCCACGTTTAGTGCAGTAAATGGAGTTGATCCTCTGGACCAGCTGTAAAAAGAAGAAAGAGGAAAGGCTCTGTTGGGGAATCTGAGGTTTTGTTTGTTTTGATCGTGAGTATAGAGAAAGTAGGCTGTACACCTGGCCAAAAGTAACAGTGTAAAGTAATGTACATGTGCTTTAATGTCATTGAAAAATAAAGTAGAAAAGGCCCAATGAGGGTGGAAACGCATTACACATAAAAATACAGGGAGTTTTAGGAAACATCTTGTCCAAACTGAGGAATTAGCAGTGATCCAGAGCTGCCCTGCCTCTGACTGAGAAACCTGAGCTGCTCTGTGAACACAGGGCAGAGCACGCAGCCAGAGCTCTGTAAGGATTTAGTGTAGGTGTTTGAGTAGGATCTAGCAGTGTGTACCTTGGGGATCCTCCAGTGCCTCTGCGAGGCAAGTGTGTCGCCGGTGCTACAAAAACTGTCATCCAAGAGGCCGCATTTTGAAGATGTTACACTAATCTGGGGTTGAAGCAGCATTTCATTGTGGCTGTAGCGTTTGGAAAACTGTGACATCCGGTGGCTTTTCCTGTCACTCTGACCAGGTAGGCGAAGGGACTGGCTACTGGGTTTGGAAGGCAACTAGTCAGGAAATAGAAGAACATGGAGGGTTTGGTACATTTAATTCATTCACATTCATTCACAAATTGAATAATAATGACTTAATTGAGATGAATAATAATGACTTTATCATTTATGACTTTATTAAAACAGCATAAGTTTGTTTGGCTGCACATTTGAATAGATACAGCAGCTGCTCTGACAAAGCCTGTGCTCTGGAGTTTTAAACCACTCTTGTTATTATCAACGGTAACTACGGGTGTCTGTCTTCCTTTTCTTAGTGAGATGTGAGCTTGAGCAGTGACGAGGGGAAGCCAAATCTGCTAATGGGCCTTTCTGTGGTACATCACCAGGTGTAAACATATCAAACTGTTTCCTGTCGTGTGAAAACTAAGGTGTGAGATTCTTTAGGAGATCTTGTCCAGGATTCTGCATTGGAACGTATAGCGAGGGAATTCATATTACAACAAGAAAACATGTCTGTTATGTTTACCACAGGAAAAGACATCAGGGCTGTTGATGCCAGCAGGTTAATGTCTTACCTGAGGCGGAGAGTTCAGCTTCCTGTCTAGGGTGGTCCAAGATCTGTTGCTCTCTAACAGGCAAGACTTCCGACCCTTCCGCTTCAGGTCAACATCCTCATATGGGTTCTCCTTTTCTGTGGGAAAGAGGGAAATATTCAATGTAGCTGGAATATGATGTCAGCAGTAAAGATAACACATGTCTACAGACAAAGCATGTTTTTCAGGAGAAGACAGATGAGGATGAGGGGTCAAAAGGGTAAAGAAGAGGGCAGTAAAGGGTGTCTGGGGCACAAGAGGGCCTCCCTATGGTTAGTGTGGAAAGAGACGAGTCAAGAAAGGTAAGTCAAAGGTCACTCCCAGCTCGCTCAAGTGAACTCCCATTTTTCAAAACAGTTACTGTTGGCAATGGGCCCCGCAGGCCCCAGTGGGCCCAGCTGAAACTTCTGGACACAACACTGCTGGTGAGTCACTATCCAGGCATGTAAACTGTCTGCTGAGAGACATGGGGGGGTCATCTTCTTAGACTTTCATTCTAGAAGTAAAATAGTTCAAATTATATATCTATAATTTTAATAACATTAGCTAAATATATTGTCACCTCTGCCAAGGAGGTTATGTTTTCATCCGCATTTGTTGGTTTGTTTCTGTTAGTTGGCAGGTTTAGAACGTGACTCAAGGGAGAACCCTTGAGTTTTGGTGCAGATCTGGACCAGGGGGGCGGCACAGCATATTTTCTTCTTCTCTCTTAAACACTGCAACATTTTCATTGATCTCTCAGAGAATAACTCATGGATCTTGATGAAAAATTAAAATGTGGTTTCATAAGGAGACTGTTGGGCCTTGGGTGGAGGTATACACTCCACTAATTGTTCATTGTAAAATAATGAAATACATATTTGTAAAATGTAAAGACTGTGAAAATGTATTGTAGAGCTGCAAATAAACCAAAAGAAGAAACATTTAAAAACCATAGTTCATACAAAAAACTAAGGTCTCAATTTTCACTTAATTTTCAATTATTTAATGTATTACATTCATTAATTTACCTAAAGAAGTTACAATCAGGACAAACTCCATTACTTCTCCACCTCAGTCAATAAGCAACAGCATAAAAGTTAGAAAATGAACATTACATAGCGCTGCACTGCTCTCACTGATGTCATCTGGCTGAGAGCCAACTTCAATAAAGAGAAAACTTGTGCAACACCACCGTCCATGTCTATTCAGACATGTGCTCTGAGAATAGCTTTTTGGCAGGGTCTGAAAAAGGTTGTGAGAAAGTGAAGCAACCACAGCGAAGAATAAAAACAGAGCCAGATGGCGTTGAAATGCATGAGGGGAACTTTTAAAAAGAAAGAAAAGCAGTGTTATCTGTCAGCAGAAAAGGGAAAGAACAAAAAAAATCTATTTAGTAGCTGTGTTCCTTCTTCCTGAGTATGTTAGAGGAAAAACCTGATGAACTCTGGTTCTCAAACAAAGAGTTAGTGTTTTATTAAAAACACAGAGGATTAACCTAAAGGCAGAGCTTTGTTCTGTTATCTATTTTTAGGTTAATTATTGAAACGGTTTGAGGTAAATGCACACACCCATGCACACAAACACTAGCGACATACGCTGCCAGGGATCTTTCAGAGAGTTTTGTCATGTCACACAGTAAACTAGCTTAGTGGAGTGAATTTCTGTGCATCATTACAACCAAGGAGCAGAATGAGAGAGCTCGGTCTGACCTCACGTTGTGTCGCTACCTAGTTAAACTGAAGCAACACTATAATGAGAGCCTGCTGGGAAAATGATATGTCTATATAGCTGCTCATGAACTGGAGGGTACTAATCTACTCCTCTGATTACAAACATCCACATTTCTCGCTAACACACCCCCAGACACAGAGTATTAAGCAGGGAGGGGACACACCTCGCCTGCACACTGTGATTGTGCATTTCTGTGTACACAATGGACTCTGTGGGCGAGGGCGAGGCACAGAACAAACTACACTAACAGTCAGTATCAGCTTACCCGGTAAAGTGGACGCGCCACAGTACAGTGGCACCGCTTAACCAATCATGGTCTAAAGGGAAATATGTGAGGGATGAAAAAAACCCACTGGTTACAGTGTTGTAAGAACATCTGGCAGTGCCACAAAACCATACAGTGTGTCAGTCATGAAGATCGACTGCGTGTGACCACACTGGAGAAATGTGCAATTGTATTTTTGGCATATTTTACACCAAAGAATAACAAAAACATAGATCCAGCTATCCATGTAGCTTTCAAAGTGTAACTAAGAATTTAAATCACTCATTGTATATACAGCAGTCTCCCAGGTTTATTCACAAGAGTAAGAGCAGAAAGCACCATGAGCAAGTAACACGCACTCTCAGACTCTATGATACAGTCCACTGAATCATGGAACCACCCCTGTATGGGCTGTGATTCATCAGTGTGTAAACAGATCAAGTTGCTTTCAGACATGCACTAAACTCCGGCTATTGTCCTGCTAGCCCCCTATTAAAAACTCTGGATTATGTCTGAGTGAGCCCATTTTAGAATACAGCAGGATATTGTTCGCAGGATTCACCAAAAGCGACTGGAAGTGTTAATGACATTTCTAGCAAATAATGCAAAACTGAAAAAAACTAGAATGCAAATATCTCAGGATGGGAAAGAGGAGCCAAACATGTAGACAACACCAACAAAGATATCAAGTTGGAAGGACATAGAGATTCAAGAGGCTTTGGTGATAGTGTGGTTTAAACAAAAACTTGAATTTCACATTAGAATTTATATATGTCCTGCTTCCTGTGTGGTTTAGCCAGACGCCACCCATCACCTGAAAGCATCAGAGATGTTCCTGTTGTTGTGAACGTGTTTGACCCAGCTGCTTTCTTCATATGTGATGTCCGAAGTCCAGACTCAATTGTCCAGACATTTTCAAGAGTTCATATCTGAAAACGGCTATTTGGCATTGCATCTCTCAACTAGTATCTTAAACAGTTAATGTAGAGGGTTAGGGTTAGGCTACCAAAAATCAAGATGAGGTGGGTGAAGAACCTCCCAAGAGAGAAGCCAAGATGTCCTCTTGAAGATGAGAAATATATGGCGTTCTCTGTGAGAGATACTTGTTAAAGTAAGGGCACAAGAGGAAACAAAACATGGCTCATTTCTTTCTGCTTTGGCTACCTCTTGAATGGATCTGTCCTTTTCAACCACTGCATCATGTTGGTGGGGGAAACAACTGCTCCAGTTTCTACTTCAATTTAAAAGCTTTTTGTTTGAACTAACTGGAGACTCAGAGACAATATTTTTGTCATAAACAAACAGAAACTGGCAAAAGTGCAACTCTGACCTGCAGACTGGATGAACAATGGGGGTTTTGTTGGGATTCACTGGAAAATGAGTCTTGCCCTGATGCTGTTTCTGCACATTCTCAGCATGAAAAAATGAGCGCACTGGTCACGGATTCACAGACAACAGCACAGCTACTTTTAATCCAATACGTGCATATAAAAAAAAACAATAGCCCTTATTTGGTCATCCCTGAGCATTTATCATGAACAAATATTTCAGTGTGTGAAATCCAAGCTTCATCGTGAGACTTTACTCACACTGACACACATTTCCAGCACATTAAGTGTGCACAGGGGGAGCTGGCAAACGGACTTGGCAGAAGGCCTGGGGTCATTTTCTAGTGGAAAGGAATTTGGCTCTTCAACATGTCCAGCATTTCACACACAATATCTCAGAGTCAATAAGTACTGGGTTGATCCTATTAACACTGAGATACATGACATGTTGCTATGAGGGTTGCAATGTCATGGTGATGGTGCTCAACCATCAAAATTTAGCAATATAATAAACACCTTCTTTACGATTTAATCAAATGTGGCTTTTATTGATTACAGTATGTGCTGGATGGCAGTGAAGACACCCCGACCATTATATATATATATATATATATATGATTACACTATATCCGTTCATCTTGTGTCCAGTGTTCACTGACTGCTCCCACATTAAGACTTTTTCTGCCCTCCACCCCTCAGTATGAGGCAGATGCAGGAGGAGGAGTTACCCTCACTGTCTTATCCCATTAGGCCTCGCTGCACAGGAGCTATCGTTTTCACAACATCTGTCTTCTATGACCTCCGGCACACTCACATAAACAATATCATATCTGTGTTTATCTGTATCTGTATCTGTATTTTCTTTTGATACAGGGAAGAATATCTTTTAATATAATCTGGTGTCAATACTTTCAATTTGTAATAAATAATTCATTGCATATCAAAAAAGTTGCTAGTACATATATGTAATATGCTTCCTGCAATCTCTCACTGTGCTTCCGAATCTCACCTAGGATGACTAACATCTTGTCTCACTTATACCTAATGATCAAAATCATATGATTTTTTTAGTATTAGTGTAAGTAAACTATTTGGGGGCATATGGTAGCACATATTTTCTTTATAGATTAATTTCTAAAGTTTTTCCTTGATTCAGTGATTCATTGTTTGGTCCACAAAACGTCAGTAAATAGTGAGATATTTCCAAAGACAATTTGACAAACAGCAAATACCCACATTCAAGAAACCAAAATCTTGGCACATCTCCTCCAACAGTCCCTTCAAATCAAGCAGCACCAAATTGTGCACACTCAAAAACATCAGGCCCCCAAAAGTGGCAGATTTTTTTATCCGTGAAAATGTCAAAAGACCAACCTATCTCGCAATGTTAAATTCTGTGCTAGAAGAAATCCTGAATCCACCCGCTGATCCAGATCTGTACCATTTGCAATTACTGGGTTCTTCCTTGACCCATATTTTATCCCTCCAGCAAGTTTTGTGATAATCCATCAGGTAGTTTTTGCGTAATCTTGCTTACAACAAACAAACCAGCTATCAACTGTATCTGAGAGTGACCCCAGTCAGAGAGAAACCAGGGAGTGAAATGAAGGTTTTCAAAGCCAGTGAACCAACTTTCTTACCTACTATGTCTTCATAGGCATTCTCCTCTAAAGTGCTTTTGGAATTGGGTTGTTTCGGTGAGTCTGCGGTCAGTGTGCCATTCTCTGTAGGTGAGGATGGATATGAAGACGGTAGACTCACAGCATCCTCTGACTCACACGACTCTCTAGAAAGAGATAAAGAAAGTCAAAACAGATCAAGATGGGGAAAGATATTTCAGTGTTGCACAACCAGAAATGATGAGGGGAAAACTCAGTGTCTGCAGCAAAGAAGGTGGAAAGATAATAGTATAAAGAAAAAGTCCAGATGCTCTTAAAAATAGTCACGACAGCCAGTTTTACTTCTAACGGTCTCCACTTACCATCTGGGGAAAAAGAGAGAGAGGCTGCACAGGTGGTTAAGATAATTCTAGTGGTTATAAAAACATTGTCTTATCCCTCAAAACCCATAAGTTAGATGTACTAATTATAAAATACAGAAAAAAAGAGAAATGATCAAAATGTGCTGCGATCACAAGGAAATCCCTAGTAAGTCACGAGTAAACATGCAGTGTTGCTGTGTTCTTTGTACAATGCTAGGCGCACATCACACGTCAAGCCACTGCAGAGGAACTAGTCATGTCGTACCATCGACTTGTGGCTTTTAAGCCTGGTCTGAAATGGCTAGTGCCACAAGAATGTTAAACACAGAGTCCAGGGGAAGAATGTTTAGGGATTTCATCCCCATTTCACATAGGGACGATCGAGAGAGGCCCCACCCTCACGTAAAATCACTGAGGACATCAGATTCTGAGTGCTGTAAGTTAAAAATGAAGAATCAACAGTGGACTGTAGTAACCAAGACTCAGCTAATATAAATGCAACAAAAGGGAATAATTAAGTGTTGGATTTCTCTGGTATAGGATATTTATTGCTGCTAGTTTAGAGTTGGCCCTGTTCAGACCTGGTATTCACATCCATCCTGAGAGATCCAGTCACAAGTGGAAAGCTCTAACTTTGTGTTCACACTTGGCATTAAAATGTGTCCTGAATGTGTCTCCTGTGACCATTCAGATCAGATCTCACTTCCCTGTACTATATGCAGATAAACACTTAGGTCATATCTGTTCTTGAAAACCCAAGAGACCAAGTATGAATCATTATGCAGAACTCAGTGTTGATGCTGCAGTGCCGCAGTGCCAACAAACAAACCAACCATATGATATAACAATGAGAAGCTACAAAATATGTTTGGATTCCTTGTGAAACTGTAAAGGTTCAGAGGATATCAGCTGAGTAGTTGGTCCTGTGACACATTTGCTTCACATAGTTAAAACAATGTGGCCACATGAGTCCCAAACCACCTGCAATGTGGTCTGGGTGATCAGATCTCAGGACACATTCAGATGCATTCTGACCTGTGCTTAGTGCTGACCACTTGTGATCAGATCACTCAGGACGTTAACACATGATCTGAACAGGGTGACCTGTGTTTAACATCAAGCAAAGTACAAGTTAATTTCTTTTGGAGGTCCATGGAAAAAATCTTTTATTTTTTGTATTGGCTCTTTAATGATTGAGATCCCATAAGCTTTTACAGAATAATACGAGAGGTTCTCCAACACCTCAACCAGACCCACTGATCAGTAACTTGTTAATCTGCTATGCCAATAAGCAAACACTTAATCAGTCCTCACAAGTTTATCAAAAGCTCTGGAAACCTTTACAACTACAGAAGATCTGTCAAGTGCAAATTTCTATATATTATCGTTTTTAGGTAAGGTAGCGGGAGGCTAGTTGGTGACTAGTTGGTAACTGAGAAATTAAACCTGGAATTTTAAAATTAGATTCACCAAGAAACTGTATTTTAGGTAGATCAGTATACATCAAATACCTGATCCACTAAATAGGCCAGTATCATAACAAATCCTGTGTTTGAGATCAGTTTATCTCTAACACCAAAGTTAACAGAAAAAGTTGGTCAAAGCTGTAGAATCTCCAATATATACTCAGTCAAGAGAAAAGACAGCTGAGCTAACCTTCTCTAGTAGTTTTGTCAAAGTTAAAGGAGACATATAAGCACACTGATTTTCTCACCTGTCCTGGATTTTGGTGGAAGGGCTCCCTTGGGTCTTTCGCGTCATGGTGGGTGCAGGGGTGGAGGGTAAAGGAGGTGGAGACTCAGAGGCCCTGTTTGGAGGTAGTCCATTGACTGGCGACACGCTCTTCTCCTCCCGTTTGGCATCGTACTCAAAAGTGCGTTTGGGTTTAGGTAAGGGGTTGACTGGTGTGCCAACAGAGGTCTGTTGACTGGGTGGTTCTGGGCTCTCGGACCTAGCTGAGCTCACACTTAACCTTTTTCTGAGTTTCGAGAGCTTATCCGGCACCAAAACAGCATCTGGCTCAGTGGTCACTGAGCAAATGCTGCTGCGTTTACTTGTGCATGTACTGTCCAAGTCGTCACCAATCACAAAAGACTTTTGTCGTGTCTTGTCTGGAGCATAGCAGTTGCTCAGGTAACGTGGAGGGGAGCTGGGGTTCTCCTTCAGGGCTTGCTCTATCTTTTGTATCCTGTTGAGGACGGCTGACTTCTCCTTCCGAGCAGACAGGGAACGTGCAAATGCTCCTGACGACTCTGTCTTGCCTATCCTTTTCTGGAAGCGACCTAGGGTGTCTTTGTCTGAAACTCCTCCCTCCGCCTCTGTCTCTGTGTAGGAGCATTCAGAAAATGCTGTGCTCATCCTGCGAACCCCCTTAAAGTCAAAAGTCTTCTCACTACAGGGAGACGAGAGCAGGCTCGGGCAGCCCTCACTGCCCCCTACACGCTCTCCGCCTCTTTTATCCAGACACAAGCTCATCCTAGGCAGAGCCACCCTTCTGCACTCCCATTCTGAGATCTTTTTGCGGATTGTGGTGGGGGGAACACCTGCTACGGAACGGGTGAGAGAGAGGGTACGCTTGTGGCTTTGGTTTGAGGAAGGTCCCAGTGAGAGTGTGCTCCAGCTCAGTGGTCTACCATTAAGTCCACCTCCCGCAGAGAGATCCCCTTGTGTGTTCTTCTCCTCCTGGATGCCCTGACTTTCCTCACAGGACTTGGTTTGACCTGTGGGCTTGTAGATGGAGAGCCTGTTGTCCAGGCAGCTGATACTCTTTGACTTGACGAGACGACCTTGGGTGTCACTATCACCTGTGAGAGATGTACCACTGCACAGGCTTGCTGTCTTGCTGTTCCAGCCAGCACGTGCCAGGAACCTGCCGTCAGTGCGGACGTACCTACTCTGCTTCTCACTGTCGCTGACGATTGGCTGCTGGCTCTGCCCCTGGCTGGCCGAGAGAACAGGACACGGGGATGTAGCCCGGCACCTGAAACAGGACAAAGGTGTGAGCAAACATTGTAAACATAAACATTTTCTCACAGAGACATCCCCCAACATTGTGGGTTTTTATAAAATAGATTAATCATGAGCGCAGCCTACAAATGCACCATGAAAAGTAAGAGAAGCCCAATGTGAAACAGATGGAAGAAATTTTCAAGAATCAGCTGAAAGTTTTGAATTCATTTCCAAGTTCAAAGGCAGAATGAAAACCTGAGCCACTTATTTAGAACAACCACAGGAAAGTATTTTGTCTTTGGCAGCACAAGATTAAAATAAAAGCCAAAGGAAATACAGACTACATTAAAATGCCGCTGTGGATTTTTCCATTGGAGGAGAATTACAGTGGACCTCACACAGAAAGCAAGATTTATTACAGCGTTCTTACCTGCAAGTCTCACTGCTCCTCTCTGGTCCTCAGAGCCTGTTCTGATCCCTGCAGCTAAGTGATACTAGGTGTTACAACAGTCCCACTCTCACTGCTGACTCTACCTTTGTGCACGACACACACACACACTTTCACACACAGTGCTCAGCTCCTTGAAGATTTCCAGAGAGACAGAATTTCCAACTAGTTCCCTTACACCTTACAACTCATACTCTTTCAGGAACCTTGTCATGACTTGGGAGTCTGACTAAGTCTTGCGAAAGTGAAGCGTTGGGAGATCTGATGTCACAGCCATGGTGAGAATAACAAGCGTTATGGAAGGAGGAGAAAGCTGAGGGCTGCAGACTGTGATCCAACAATGCAGGTTGGGACAGATCTCTCTTCACACTTATCTGCCCTTCCCTGGTATCATTCTTCCTGCTCCAGGGTTGGGAAACTTTTACAACAGCTAACAACCTGCAAGTTGCAAGCATGACAGATGCATCTTTTCTTACTTCCCTTAAAAATATTTAAGAATTCACAGTGACAACTCTAGTCTCGAGATGTTCCATGCTAGCCTGCAGTCATCTGAGGTCAGATGAATAGATTTTGAAGCTCAAAATAATCAGTAATTTTTAAATGGATATATTAGTGAACACCACTTCACACAGTTTTGTTGAAAAATAATATGTGGTTATGATACTGTAGTTCTAAAGAAGCAGGGTCCCACTGTTGTTTGCTGCTTAATATTTATTTAATATAATTTGCAATAAAGGAGTTTAGTCAACTTTTCTAATCTTATCTTAATGAGAATTTTAACTTGAACAGTATTTAAAATAAAATATTGTGGGTATGTGTGTATGGAGGGGAAATTTGCTAAAAAGCTCTAGGTATATTGTTTTGATGCAGGATTTTTAATTTGTATTTACATAAAATCTTAAGCTGTAAAGTACAGTAACTGTCAGGTTAAAGGTAAAAAGTGAAAAGTGCAACATTCCCCTCAAATTAAAATATGCATTGGCAAAACAAAGAATTCCGTGTTCAGTGTTTGTGAAAATATTTTCGTAGCAACCAAACCAAACAGTAAGTAATACAATCACAGTATTGATTGAAGTGGTGACATTATTCAAATATTATTAAATTCAAATGTTTGTTTTGTTGCATATAATACATTTTTGGGAAATTCTGCATGTTTATATGTTTTGCTGTTTGCTTGCTTTGGTTTCATACACCATTGATCCTATTGGCAAACTGTCATTAAATCTGATCTGTTTACAAAGTAGGAGATTTAATCAAACTACCGTTAAATCAGAAACAGAACAAGACCGATTTTAGAATATTATAGCCTCATTTAGCCAGAAATACTAGTTAGAAAAGACTACAGCACAAAGACCTCTCGATTAGACTCACTAAAAGAACATAAATGCAGAACTTAAGTCTATTTAGGTTTCTGGGAGTTTCAGGGGTTTGTAGTGGTCTGGATCATGCTTGTAAAAATAAGCCCAGTTTAGTGAGCCTCAGCTGAGCCGGCCACACATACAGTACTGTACAAAGAGCTTGATGCCAGTCACAACCAGGCGCCCAGGGCATGCTTACCACAAGCCACTTCCTTTTACTGACTAGGATAGAGAAAGCAGGAGACCAGCACTTCTGCTATCACAGTTCAACATTTATACTCATCTATATTATTATTTTTTGAACATCTATTAAACTCTGATCCAGCACTAATTTTACTCTAGAGCAGATGCATACCATTATAAACCAGAGTCTAGATAGAGAAACCTTCCTCCAGCAAAGGTCCAGAACATCACAAATGCTCTTTTCTCATCTCAAGTTAAAATAAACTGCACGAAAAAAAAGCTTATTTTAAAAAATTCAACAAAATTTCCCTATTTCTTCTTTTTTGTAAATTCATTTTCACTTTAGTTAATTTTGTAACAAGTTCAACACATCTTAACGAGTGAACAGCTTTAACACCTGCGTTTCTCTTCCTTTTCTTTCTCTTACATCCCACCTCCACTTGTCCTGCCAGGAATTTAAGTCTGAGCTGGAATTGTGTCGTGTTGTTTCACGAGACATCTGTTTTTAAACTGCCCATCAGAAGAATGAATAAACAAGTTTGTTCAGTCTTGATTAATAACTCTGCTTTTGCTGTCTCCTTTTCTCTTTTTAGAGCGAACTGTGTGAAGTTACATTTCTTACCATTCTCTGATTCACTCACTGTCACTGTCTTTTCTTCCTCCTCTCTTTTTCCCTGACGTGTGCCTCTCACTCACCAGTCGACCCGAATGATCATATGAATTCCCAGATTTGATGGGCATCAGTGAGATGATTTACAACGCACGCAATTGGTTTCCTTTGAGTTGATTTGAGTTTCCTGCGCTGATAACCCAGGGCTATAAAGGCTGGGAAAACTGTGCCTGTTAAAAAAAAAACCTGCTGTCAAAATGATTAATAAGTTATGGGTCCAGGTCTGGATAGGGCTTCTCTATAGTTTGGGGTTGCATTTACATATTAGTAAGTATATGAGCCCAGTAAAAGTGTATATGCGGATGTGTAAATCATTAGTATGAGCTCTTTCTCTCTTACACAGTCATGTCAGTGTGTTCTGAGTTGCCTAAACACTTCTGTGATCCGCTCATAACTGTAATCTTTGAAGTTTATGACAACATTGGAAACTTGGCAATTGAAGCATTTTTTTTACATTTTGAAATTAGTCCTTCACAGAATTTCAAGAGCAAAAACTGAACATGTTTTTTTTTTTTTATTTACTTTAGTTCTTTTGTGCCTCTTGAGGCTACAAAGTTCAGCGTGGGTGTAATTTGTCCTAGAAAATGGATCACTGGCTGATGTCATAGTTTCGATGAACGCATTGTGCAGCTCTATCCCACACAGCTGATTCCTCCTCATATAGAGAAACATGGAGCTGCAACGCGTCTTCGTCTCAAGAGCTTTTCATCGAAGCTTTAAGACTCAGGTATTGTGATGGTACTTATCAAGAGAAACTCAATTTAAATTCCATCAAATGACAGTATAGGAATCGCATCATAAGTAAACACCTACAGGCGCATGATTTCCAACAATCATCTCATCAGACTGACAGAAGCTGATGTGACTGTGAACAAAGTAAACGCAGACTAGACTCCACAGCTGCATTACGTGATCGTGTGTAGCTTCCTGCCTGTTGCTATATACTGAGACTTTGAGCTTGTTAAAAATGGACAGGATGATAGACTGTGAGAATGAATAGTGTAGATATCACATATCATTCCCAAAGTTTATTTTTCTCTCCCGGCAGGCCACCGTCAGCTCTCAACATGCTAACACAAGCTTCAGCTCACTACTCAAAGTTCAGAGTCGGATGGGGCCCTTGTCCAGGATACAGGACTGTACTTGTAAGAGCTTTGGAAGTCTTATTGTGATTGACAATCACAGATCGTTGTTTTCCATGAGTTAAAAAAAGAAGAAAACTACTACAGACTGATCTCTGATGGAAACACAACACTGAAAATAAATATTACTGTAAGTGCAGCGCTTCTTTCAAATAGAGAGAAGAACAAATCTTCTTCTGAAACCATGTGACACAAGTGTAAGTGCACATTGACCAACCAAACCCTGTCTGTCCCACATGTCACTGACCTTTCGGGGGGTTCCCGGGGAGTTTTACCCCCTCCTGCACGAGGTGCAGCCTTCAAACTCTTGTTGGCAGTCATGTTTGTCTGCAAACCGCCAACTCACCTGTTGGACAAACACAAGGACAAAATACATTGTAAAAACTGCAGCATTCAATGCACTTCAATCAACTCCAAACAATATGGGGTGATTTGCAAACTGACTCTTCCAAACTGGTCTGGGTTTGTCAGTAACAATTATAGGTAAATTATTCAAATGTTCTATAGACCTAGAGCTGATACAGAAACAACAAAAACAATATTGTGATGATTTAATCCAGTGCCACATCAAAAACCAGATAACCTACATTCTTATAAGACCAGAGCCAGAACAAAAGTGGGAGTGCCAAATTAGACTGAACAGGTCATGTTACTACATTTAACCAAAGTTATAAAATGGCTACTTATAACTTTGTTTAAATGAGCGTCTGAATCTGCATATCTCTGGTATCAACTCTTTCTCACTAGTTCCTGTAATTACAATATAATTATAACAGGGTACATTACAGGTTCTGATACTCTCAGTCATAAATCTACTTTGCCCAATCATAGATTAATATGTAAGCACAAGGTGCACCGATTGCACTTGACAACCAAGAGTATAGGAACCACCACAGCTGCCATATTGAATCGCCAGTGTAAATATTGCAGACATCGTTCTACAAACCAAAGAGTAAGTAACACATAATTAAGACAGCATGTAGAGCACATTGTGCCAGAGAAACTCAAATATATTCAGACCAGGATATATTCCACTTCAGACAAAGAAATTCTGCCATTTAAAACATATATTTTTACATCAAAGAACACAGAGCTACATTACTGAAAAAGACACAGCTAAACACACATTATTTCAACAAGGTCCTGATCTGAATTTCAGATCATAACCAGAGAGGAAATATGGATTGAAAGTTATTACTCATGCAGCTGCTCCCCACTTGATGGTTGTGCAACACAGAAACTTAGCACATACAAAACTGAGCATATTGATGTGTGCAGAGGCACTGAGGTTTGTGTAGTTTTTGGGAGGCTACAAAGGAAACCACAATGGATCAACTTGCATCTGGTATAACACTAATTTAGAGGTTGCAAACCTGCTGCCCTCAGGTGTCTGCAGCCACCTGTTGGGTGAGGAGGGCTCTAACACAGACTAAAAGTAGAGCTCAATAAAATACTGGTTATAGTCTCATTATAGCAGCAGTTTAAACAAATCACCACAAAACACTTTTGTATACTCATTCTGCTGAGAGTTAAAAAATTGAATAAAATATCAAACAAAGAATAAGGTAACTTTAAATTGTATTCACGGTCACATTATTTAAGGCTCATGCTCAACATTAGACACGGAAACGAATGGAGAATTTTGTCCATACTCTGTGTTCATAGTTTGTATTTGTGCATGTCTTCCAAAAGCGTCATGCTTCGAATGAAACAGTAAAAACAGAGCAGTACCATTGAACAGTGTAGGGGGCAGTGTAGTCAATAGTTCAAGCAAGATGACCCTAAAACACTGTAAATGGACGAACAGCTGCTTTTGCTTCTTTCTAATGAGGTAAATTATCACAACCACCGTCATCATTGTTATAGTCAAAACCTCTGTGATGCCCTCATGTATAGGACACCAATGTGAGGAATGCATGTAGTATGTGAGTTATGGTTACATCGTTTGAAACCAACAAATCTCTTCATAACATAAAGGCTGCATAAATTAACCTTCAGTTGAAAAATATACTTGTCATTGGTTTCTGCTGGACAAAGTGTATGTTTCTATGTATGACTACATTCATACAGTGTATTTGGGTTTTCTACACACCAATTTATTTTGACTAATCAGCCGATGCCAATATTTCTGCTATAACATCATATGTCAGATGATTTTTGGTCTACTTCTAATATAGCACTGTAGATTGTTTTTGATTTATTTTTGGAGATGTCTGTCTCTGCCATAATTTAGTTAAGACATATTCCTTTTAGTGAGATTTTCCTGAAATGAACCTCAAATTAACAAATCACCATTCAAACGGAAGGCCATTGCCCCTGAAAGTCACTTTTTGAAATGCAGCAATGACCCTTTCCAACAAGCTCAAAGCAATTGTTCTGGTGCGTAACGAGGTCAATTGGAGATCCCTAGAGCTCAGAGGTGGAGGATGGGAGGGTGCTTGGCAGCATGACTTGTTTACAGGAAGTTGTTGTATGAAGAAGCCAGCCAACCAGTGGTGGAGACGGGTCCTATAGAGACAGATGAGGGGAGAGGGGGAGCATTCCTGCTGTCAGCTATTTCCTGTAACAGTGGACTGTGCTAAGGGGACCAGGCATGAATCATAATTTTCATCAAACACAAAGACTGATGATGTCCTGCTCTGGTTACAAATCTCCTCTACTGATGTCAATCTGCTTAGAAGACAAAATAAAACCATCATACTCAGAGTGCACTTAACTGGATTTTGACTGAAGGTATCTTGAGCAACAACCGAATTCAAACATAACCTTTTACTGTCCTACTTTAGATGTTGTAGTGCATAAAGAAATATGCAGATGACTCTTTAGCTGGAGCTTCTCATGACAAAGATTATAGCAAACAAATGAGAAAAGTCACATGTCTGGAGCAGAGAAAATTAAGCTTGATATTTTTAAACTACTACAACTTTAGACATCTTCGAACAATTGTTTGTTTGTTTAGTAATTCTTTTCATATTTTTGACTGAGAAAGCTACAACCACAAAAATAGGTCACAGCGGACCAAAATTGAGTGTACAGTGTAAACACCAAGGCGTTAGCCAACTGACTTCCTGAGATCTGATCGCATCTCCCAACACAAAATCACATGGTCCAAACAACCACTTTTAAGAAAGCTCTAGAGAACCTTTAAAGTGCATTCAACCAGATTTAGTACAAACTTTCTCCTGAGATGACTGAAATGAATATGAGCTTACAGTCAACAACAACAAGTAGAAACAGCTTCATGCTGATGGGAGGCAATCCTTAAATGATCATGACATCATCACATTGATTGATGTTTGAATGTTTGCTGTATTACAGAATGACGCTGGTCATGAAAAGACATTGATTAACTCTTTACTCACTGCTAAATGCTGCTCTGTGTTCTCTAGCTGATCACTGCAGATGTGATAAGTCTGTGATATCGTCACCATGAGCCACTTCTAAGTCATTTGATCTATTGCTAATACAACAATAACGATGAGTAAAGCTTTAAGTCTGTATTTGTACGTTTTCGCAGCCATCGAACATGGTCTCTTGCAAACATAGTCATCATTGTGTTTAGTGGCAACAAGGAAACAAAGTCATCACAGACAGACACATAGACAGACACATAGTCATACTGATCACTTATATATATCTCCTTAAAATATGTAGAGTTTTATAAAGAAAATGCAACTGTTTGACGTCATTGTTGATAACCAGCAGTGACAATGTTCAGACTGTTCAGAAAGAAGATGGCGTTTTTAGAATCAAAATAAAAACCATCAATTAAAAGTTAAAACTGACGGTAAACATGTGTTTCTTTGTCTAATTATACAATTGTTATTATTTATTTTCATTTCGGTAAGTATTCTATTATTAGACAGCTATGATCTTCTATTGTGTAAATAACATATTAACTAGTAGATAGAAACAAGCATCAAAATAATGCACACATTTATAATATATCTAGTATTGTTATATTGTTTGACATGGACAGTTCTATTAGTGTTGAAATGCCCATGCTTTGTACACACATAGGCTGTTACAACAGGAACAACGTCTGTTCCTGTTTTCTTTTGTGTACACACCCACTTAGGAGACAGGAAGTTTAGACTGTTCCATACAATTAGTGCAGTTTCTAGTGCGTCATCCTTGTTATAGAGCATCTTTGATGTCACTGAGGAACCAAGTCACTTAACAAACATGAGCAAAATGTAAAGTACAGGGTGACACACACTGGCAGCACATGTCAGAACATCAGCTCCCATTGTTTCCTATCCAAACACACACACATTAACACACACTGGGGGCGTCTTGATGCATGCCATGATCCTTGCATCTTGACAGGATAATAATAATAATAATCCCTAGAAGTTACTGCCCTGACTTCATCTTCAAAACAGTGAGATGAAAAAAGCATCCATAAGTTTTCCTGTCTTTAGTTCTGACTTAAAAACAAATCCCAAAAAGCCAAACTGTCATTTTTAAGACACTCAAAACCATCTTCTTTATGGCGTAGCGTAGCCACTTCAGGGTTTGTCATGGTTTTGTCATGGTTATGTCTAGATGTACTAAATGGTTACATGAGAGACATATCAATGACACAGATTTTCCTCAGCAACATGAGCATATTCATGACCAGGGACTACAACACAGTCTCCATTAGACTATTCGGGCTGGAATGAAAGAGCCCTTTGTGTTCAACACAACCTTGAGAGGGACATGGTTAAAAAGTAAGTCTTTTATCAGCTGTGTGTACGCGTGTGTGTGCGTGTGTGTGTGTGTGTGTGTGAAAGATAGAGACTCAATTAGGTAAAATATCTTTTAAAATAGATTCCACACGTCCTTGGCCCTGTCGCATTTGACAGATCATCTGATAAACTGCTCTCTCTACTTCTTTCAGGAATGTACTATCCATCAGACTGCAGCCGATTTTAAAATATTAAAGAATGTTTTCAGAGGTTGAAAGAAAATACAGGAGAGAGACAGAAACACCTGGACCCAGTGCCGAGAGCCAGGCAGCACAGAAATACTCTCTCTCTCAGCACCTGGCGCCTGATGTTCAGTCTGTGAGGGCAAAGCCTGATTTTATGCAACAATCTTATGACGTCATGATGGACATATGTTCGATAACCTGTGGCTGGGTTCACTTTCAGACCTTTGCTAATCCTGAAACAAGCAGTGCAAACACAGTGCAAACACAAAAGCTTCAGTAAACAGAGTATAATACTGTCTCCTTCTTCTGTCTCTTGTTACTCTTCTTGATTTTCTGCCTGACCTGGTCGTCTCTTTCTGCTGATCAGCAACCTGGCTTCAAGGCTTTAAGACCACCACAGAGTTTATAGGCAGCCAAGAAGCAATGCAGAAAGGAAGGAGCGAAAAACTTTGCAAATTTTCAACTCTTTCCACACGTTTCAACTCACTGGCAGGAATGAGTGCATGAGCCCACACACCCATTGTTTCACTATCTGCAGAAAGACCAGTTTTGTCCCCAATGGACAAGAAGAGACTCGAGCTGAGTCAGATCATGTCAGTAGAGCAATGTGGGACTTGAGTCACATATATATCCTGGTAGAGGAGATTCTGGGATAATATAGTTCAATCATTACAACACACACAAACTGTGCATGTGAGACATCTTTGTATTGTAAGTCAGACAGGTCAGTAAAAATCCCCATGTGAAACAGAAAGATTGTAGTTCATTCTGGATATACTGTATACTGTACCGAATTTCAGGTTCTGTGTTTCTAAGAAAACCACTAAGGTTGATGCTACTGGCAGTTGCACATATAGCCATACCTGTAAAATTAGCTCCACATGGTATGCCATGCTCCCGATATACTGTATAGCTCAATTGACCAGGTGGAACTGGTTCTTGGAACCTTTTTGCCCACTTCAGCTTTTTTCAGACAAATCATGGCATATTTTCTCTTTGTGGAGAAGAGGAAAAATCCTTCTGTGTAACCTAGATATGAGCGTGCACAGCTGCAGAGGCAGGCATGTGGAAAACAGGCTTATGAGCTGAGTGGGGGGGCTAGAATTTGTGTCAAAGAGCTGGCCCCTGACACTAAAGTCTTTTCCAGGGACATAAGAGATATATTCTTATTAAAGTCAGAGTTTAAGTAAGTCAAAAAAAACAAAGACTGTACATCACCTCTGTATTTGCTCGGCACATTTGTAAGTGTTTACCAACTTAAAACAGCTTAACATTCTTAAGTTACAAGATTTGTTGGAAGTTGGACAATGACCTGTATCATCATTTAATTCATTGTCACTTTATAAATGAAAATCAAGATTTTGCTCAACCTTTCTTCATCAACACATACTTTCCCACTTCATTTAACAAAACAAGATTTGCCCTCTCCCAGTTTTATGTTTTCTATCACAGTCAAGTTGCAGTTTACACCCATGTCTGTCCAGACGCATACAATACACTCAAGACTTACATAAGAGGGAAGAAGGAATTTAATAAAGACGGAATTTAATAAAAGGTATTATACTGCATGAATTCTTGAGAGATGGCCAAAAATGTGTTTAGTGACAACACAGTGACCTTGAACTTCGGTCTTTGACCATCAAATTCTGTTCATCCTTTAGTCCAACTGGATATTTTTGCCAAACTTGAGGAAATTCCCTTGAGGCATCACTGAGATATTGTGTTAATGAGAATGGGGAAGATTGACAAACAGAAAGCATTAGGTCTCTACTGGCTTCCAATGCTCGCACTAGCATTACCATTCATTCAAATGAATGTTGTGAGAATGATCTGAATGATAATGATAATCCTTAATGAATGAAGGTATGAACATTTCATGAACAAGTGGCAACACACCATGACGCTACCCATTAGTTTGTTAACTGACGCTGAAGACGACAATGGTGATGTCATGTTACCGTGACATAGTATTCAAATGAGTGTCAGCCTAGTCCATTACGGTCCTTGTGTCGTAAATGTCATCATCCACTGGATGTCCACATCAACAGCGGGTCGAGAAACAGGTTTGGAATAAGGTGTGAGGTTTTTATATGAGATTTGAGGATATATGGAAACATGCTACATTACTGCCACATACTAAAGTAAGGCACTAGTATCATATCTGTGGACCAAAAACCCACATCACATCACATTTTCTTAAGTTTACAGCACATCAGCTCAAATGCAGCCATGAGAGGAAATGAAATGTGGAAGCAGATTTGTTGGTATCAAAGGAGACATTGTCTCAGTGGCTGATATCTTTAGTAGAGCTTTGGGATAAAGTAAAGGGAGATTGTCTTGTCATCTGAATAAAATCCCTGTCTGGGAAATCTGCTTAAACCATATGTTACAGAAGTACCCCCCGCAAATCTCAGGCTACATCCACATGAATACATTTTCATTTTATAGCAGCAACAATCTCAGTCCAATCCAGAAAGACATTTTTGTGTCATATCAGAAATAATCTCTACCAACGCACCTGAAAACAAATATCACATGACCATTGGGCGTGTGCTTTCCAGTGTAAACAGGAAGCAGATTGTCTACTTTGCTCTTAGTGAAAGAAAGTTAACAGCATTTTCCATTCACCGCAGGTAGTCGAGTTGTGACTGTTAAAACTCAAGCAGGAAGTGTAAATGTGTGTCCACAGCATTGTTTTTCAAAAAGTATATTTCTGTCCATCTATAATAAAATGCAACCCCAGAGTTTTCAAACTAAAACAAGGCCAACTGTGCTTTACAGTTTTTGAGGCTTGAAACTCTAGAGTAGTGTGGACACCAAGAATAGAAGCAGCAAAACTGATGAGTTTTAAAACGTATTAGTCTGAACGTAGCCTTTTAAAAACCCTGAGGTTCAATTAAGGAAGATGTCAGAGAAAAGTGTTCCTTTAGAATTGTTCTATGATTAGCAGTAGCAGGCCTTCACTCAGTAAATCATGGATGGATAAATAGCACCAGTAAAGACTAAATATACTTCAAATGGGAGGTTGAACAAACGGTCGCCTTAAAAGTGGCTGGGGACAGCCCAGACTTTCTCCTGTTCAAGGAGTAAATAGAAAAACTTGCTCAATAGTTTGTGTTGACAGTCCCGTCCGGTGAGAGGGTCAGGTCATTGTTTGATCTGCACAATAGAACGTTTTAGGGAGAAGAGAAGGCTAAAAGAAAAACGGCACCGCAGCTATACTGTTTTCAATAAACTGAATAAAATATATCTGAAGGATTTTAGATGTAATCTGCTTAGAACTCAGAACAACATTCATGATAGCCATAAAATGAACTCAACCAGAGCCAGTGATGTTGTAATGAATGTGCAAGTCTGATCACTTTAATAACAATACTTTTTTAATCTGTATGGACCTAGA